TGTGGCACATTGCTGGCAACTTTTACCAATTCCTTAAGTTTGTTTACTTTTAGACTCTTCGCCTCTAGCTGCTTCTTCCAGCCATCTTATAGTTATCGCATTTGTTGGTTTTGGCAGCTCAAAAACTTGCGCGGCTCATGGCTGAAAAGCAAACATAAGCAACAGAACAAAAAGCTGAGGCGAAGATATCGGTTGTCGTCGATGTGTATTGTATAATATGTCTGCAGATAAGGTTTAAAACCCCAGCCCCATAGGTGTGTTCCCAATGATTAAGGTAGAATGTGTGATTCGAGGCGCTGGACATTGTTTGCCTCTTGCTAAATGGGGGAATAGCGTGACTAGTGCGGTAACGAAATTTGAATAAGAGCCGCTTTTATAGCGCTCGAATTCGAAAACAAAGGGGAGCCCTGTGAGCTTGCCTAATTCATCGTATGACATATCTCAATTTTCAAGCAGTTATGCATTTAGTGCTTTTCTACCGGATCCAGAACAACCTCGCCCACGCCTGACTCATTCAGTTCCAAGAAACGCTAATTTATTGAATCTCTGCCTGTAATAGGAGCAACTCTTTAAAGGCCTTCGCATCGATTTTCGAATTTCCAACAACGCGACCAACGAGTCATGCAAATTGTTAAGCTAAAATGGTCTTTAGTCGGAGGCAGAGTCGGAACCCCCTCCTCCCGCGTTTAACCCGGCTGACCTTAGACTCTTCTCCAGTTACCTAAAGCCATTTCTATAGCTATGCCCATTCCCTAGTCTGTGTGCGGAGGCGCTGTTCTCATGGAAATCGCTTTACAAAGCAGATAAGCAAAGTGAAATCAATCAAAAGACTTTTATATCAAACAATATAAATGAAATGCTTGCCGTTGTCGTTATAGCTGTGATTCCTACATATCTTCGACGGCTGAATTGAAGTTGCGCTTGTCACGTTTGTCAAAGAACGCAATGAGCACGTAGAACCCACACGGCGAGCCCCAGTCTCTATCCCAATTCGAAACGGAATCCCAAAACACGGCACCCGGGCGGATATCCAGAGTTCGTAGATACAGATACACATAAGAGAATGCAAATGAATGGCTACGGGCTACGGGCTATGGGCGGTACATATGTCAAATGCTCTGTGGCTGCCGCAGAGAAAACTTGTGCGACTTTTGAACTTAATGCCCTCAAAGGTCACACGAACAGGCAGTGGGACACGCACTTGTGGTAGTGAGTGACCCAAATGTGCCTCTCGTTCGGGGTAAACTTGGTCTTCTACGGAAATTGTTACAAGGCGTACAATTCTGGGAAGCTCGAAAGAAACGCAATATCGAATTTGACTAGGAACTTTTATGTGGAAAATGTAATAGCAGACTTGAATCAAAAAGGCTTTTATTACCAAACTAGGAACTTCTCCTTCATTTAAACTTTCAGTTAATAACACAACACTGATGACTTTGTGTTATTGTTAATTTAATAATGGGTAACACGAGTATCTAACGATTTAACATTTTTTTTTAGTGAACTGTATCGCACCACACTTTTTACAGCACGAATAACTTTCAAAACTAAGCATGTTGAAATAAATACTATATTAAACCACAATAGACTAAGGGACTTATAAAATTAGTGAGACAAAACTTCGCCGTTGATTTTGAAACTTTTCCTGTGTGCGCATTTAAACCATGTTAATAGTGCACACCCTTCTCCCGAACACGGCACCCATATCCCGCATAAACTTTTCAATTTGCGGCCCAGAAGTCTAAAATCCAAAAAAATATCTACGCAAAAACCGAGATCCCTTTATGCACGACAGATTTGCGCCTTGACCCCGCTCAGGGAAAAAAAGAGAAATTCCACAGAAAAAAAACACAGTCAGCGGCAAAAACTTTGTGCAAATCGCGCTGGATTTACATAATTTTAAATGCTGGCTTATTGGTTTGTGTTTGTTTCCACAGCGGATCAGGCGGAAGATGGCGGGGGAAAATGGGCCAGGAAGTTGGGCGAGTCCGAGTGACCCGGCCGAAACGTTTATTGCCATTTTGGCTTGGACTTTTTCTGCTGGCTTTCAACTGAGAATGTGGGTTTTTTTTCCTTTCCCAGTTCTTTTTTTTTGTCTCTGTGATAGCGACGAGGGTCCAATTTGCATATCTGATTAATATGAATACATTAGTTTCGTGATTTGGCACAGTAAAGCAATAGAATTAAATGCGTTGGCTGATTGCAGAGACAAAGGTCAAGTTAAAGCTCCTCATCCCGCCGACCGCCCCATCGAATCCCGCAGAAATGCCTTGGGGTCTGGTTACTTAAATTCAATTAGCGCTTCCGCTGAACTCCTCATAATGCGATTTGCACTCGAAATCAGAGACATATAAAATATGCTTTTTGTTTGCGCCCGTCTGCCTCACTGCCTTGCCCTCTCCGCCGTTTTCCTCTTTTCCAACTGGAGACTCCAGACCGAGCAGCTTTTATTGAGGAAGCGGCAAATTTATTTAAATTAAGTCGAAAATGCTTGGTTGCTCGCTCGCTTGACTGCTTGCCTGGCAACTTGTCTGCCGCTCGTAAGTTTGCTAAATGTGTGGTAGATTTGACAATTATGACAGCGCAGAATGTAAGATTAATTCTGCATAATTTACGGGGTTTTCCAAGACGGGGACAGGGGCCGGGAGTCCTGCCAGTAAACCCCATTATTGGGACTCCCTTGTCGACTCTATTAAGTGGATTATGTTGTTCTGTGTACCCAGGAGGATTTGGGCGATTTGGATGACCTCTATCCCGTCCTCTCATATCATCCATCCCACTCCTCGAAAGCTGTCGTCGAGAGCGTTCGCCGTGATTTATGTTGGGCAATTTCGTGCGGCGTAGCTTCATAAATTTTATTATCCTGCAATTGCAAAACCGAGTGCCCAAGGCACCCAGCCCTGCCTCGAGCCCCATCTGCAGATTTTTTTTCGTTACTGTCACTCTCTTTTTTCAAGTTTATGGGTCAGCAAATTTTATTTATTGCCCACCCTCAATTGGCAGTTTAGTTTGATTTGAGCGGGGAGGGAAAAGCCTAACTCTCTGATATTATCAGTTAAATAGGGCTAAGCTGATCCGATTCGTAAAGAGGGACCATGTCAGTCATATTTTTGGTTTGTTATTGGTAAAATTCAATGGGAAATTTAACAAGTCACCAAATTAAAACTTGAACCTAAAAACTTTAATTAAGGTCTAAACGAAATGGAAAATCACTTAATTACTGAACAAAGCAGTAGCAAAAATATACTCCACGAAGATAATAACATGTTATCACACATACCATAATATTCAGTCATCAAACACTCATTCGTGTTTGAGACAAAGAAAATAATATGAGAATAATTTATCAGAAACCACTGCCCACTTATTCGCGTGAAGATTTCGAGAAAAATGATTTGAATTCTCTATAAATACAACAAGATAACCATAAGAAACAAAGACAGAATCATAAGCCGACAAATGACAAAGGTATTTGTTTTCATTTCGCTGGTGAATCAATTGTTGATAAGTTTACGAAGCCAGAGTTAAATCTAAACACAAATCTGAGGCTGGCCTGAGTCACCGCAACGCCCTTCGTCACTGACCTCGCCCAAGCGTTTAAATATTAATAGATGATTTCCGAGACCCACTAATTCCCAGCAATTCCGTGGAGCCAAGTGGCTGTTGACAGGTGGACCAAAACCAGCGTGCGACACTCATCCACATGGGACAATGTCTAAAATTAGCAAACAAATGGAAATCGAACAAAAACACACACGTAAATAAAGCAATTTGAAAAATGAAACCAGTTTCGGTTTGATTGAGGGCACACTCTCAGTGTCTCGGAGTCGTCTTTCGATTTCGGGGTTCCAATTAGTTTTCCATTTTGCTGCCCCGGAGCATTTTGTGAGGCTAATCAGGGACAGGGGCCTGACTTTCGACGACTCCTAGACGCGACGTAAATTTCATTTATTCCATTTGTCTTCATTGCCCGGGGCGACGACGACACCTATAGCAGCCGACGACAGACATCGATAAATCAGGGCCAGGAATCGAAGACAGCAGCCGCAGGAGCTGCTGCATTCGTCCTCCCAGGGTCCTTGGATTTGTTTTTGCCTCACGATGCTTGAAATACCCGATAATTGATTTTACAACACCCGCTTACCCTCATGTAGACAGAACAAAAGCATCCTTGGGATTTTTTCGGGAACCGCGGAGGCTTAGGCGAGTTTAAAGGCAGGTATATGCAAATGCCGCCCGTCTAAAATTAAACCAAAAGCGCGAAGCCCAGTAAACAGGGATCAAGTAGATTGATATTTCCTGAAAATAAAATTTGGAGGGTAGGTAGCGCGTTGGAAATTCAGTGAGCGAGAGTAAGAGAATAAGGAGAGAACTCAAATCAAGAGAACAGCTACCTAAGCGACCCTCTATAAAGGAAGTATTTCCTAATACAACAGCGGGAGTAAAAATAGTACAAGGACTTCTGAAAAAAACTTTTTCAATGTGATTGATAAAAATAACTTTTAATGAAACGGTATAGTTATGAGTCAAATTAATTAAGTGATCCATTATGTTTTGACTTATCTACTCTAATCGCTTTTTAAAGAAAATAGTTACTTAGTGTTAACAGAGTTCAGATTAGCAAAATGTTATTATAATACTATTTTAGATTGTATGATATTAGCGATAAAGCGTATAGTAATTTTACCTGAGGAAATTTCATTTCAACGCTAGTTGTCTGACCTCGACTGTACGGTGAGAGATCATGAGATGAATGCGAACGGGGAGAGTTGGTGATCCAGAGAGCCTGTGAGTTGGGTATTTGCTTCTCAATCACGTCCCGAAAGTGCTCTCAGTTTGAATTTGAACCACGGGACGCGCACAACGGAAAATCCTGGCATAAAACCGCGATCGATCGAAAAACCGAAAAACTCGCCATACGGAGGACATTCCTCCCCGTAGAAACTAATTTAGGAAAAAAACCATAATAAAAAACCAAAAACTAGAGAAAAAGTGAACCAATGGAGCGTCGCAAGGCTCTCAGTTCGTATGCCAAGTTGAAGGATCAGCAGGGGGCGGCGGCTGTAGCAGCAGATATGGTGACGCCGCAGAAGAACAACGAGAGCGGGGACTCGCTGCCCGCCTTGCGCCGCTCTCACTCCGTCCGCTCCTCCCTGCGACGGCTAAAAAACAAGCTGCACAGTCCCGCCCTGCCGCTGCAGTCTCCCTTCAAGCTGCGCACCCAGCTGCACATGCGCAGTCGCAGCTCGCGAGGATCGGCCACTTTGGACAAGAGCAAGGCGGCCAAGGCACTGCGCATGCTCGGCGACCTGGACGCGGTGGCCGTTCTGACCACCAAAGTAAAGGGAAAGAACGAATTTGTGCCACTGAAAAGCAGGGAAATGAACTCGGATTCCTGTGACCACGGTGAACTGGGCATTGAACGGCTCATGTCCACCCTGCCAGTGGGAGCCACTTTACCGCGGAAGGCCTGCAAGTTGCTCCAGATCCCCGAGAGTTACTGCCGGCGGACGGACTGTGCCCCAAAAGCTACCCTGGACTCGGACCTGGAGAGGACCCTGAGCGGTGAGGAATCCAGTTCCGTGCTGGCGGATATCACCCGACATGCCCAGCAGGGCATCTATGGAACGACGCGCATGCGCACAGCTACTATTCGGAAGCCGATGCCCTATCTGAACAGCCGTAGGTGTCCTTTAAGTCCTTGACGAACTCAGAAGTGTGATTTAAATGCAAAATATGGTACCCGATCTAAAGTTATATGTTGGGTTACATTAGGAGTTAAAACAAGTTCGGTTTTACTTTCTACAATTTTAAAGTTTTGGCTTTCTTAGAAAACAGGTAGCTAAAATGATTTCTGACAAAAAATCTCCTTCGGTTCGTCAACCAAAAAAAATCTTGAATGAATACAATAAACCGATAAAAGTGAAAAGATGATTTCATTTTACCAGCCGCATTTCTACCTGAAATGTTTGTAGAAGCCCCCTTTAAATCCGTTTAAAAACTTAAAATGGTGATAAATTAGTTGTTTCCTGTGAAAATCGAGTGAAAAAACACTCCTAAAGAGTTTATGCAGCTGAACAAAAGAAAATATGCTCGTACCCTTGAAAAGGAATATGCCGGTAAAAGCGTTTAAAGAGCGTTTAATGCAAACAAAAGAAGCTTTCTTCAAGCATTTCCTTCTAGCCAATAAAACCCACATTTGGTGCCCGCTTATAAAGCGACTAAAACAGTGATTCAGTAAAAGTTTATGTATCTGCCAGTTATGTTTTGATGTCTTTGTTTGTGTTTTGCCAAACTCTTTTATTGCACATCCATCAAGTTTTGATTTGAGATATTTATTGCTCTGGAAGTGGGTCAATGAACTATTCCGAATGGTGTGTGTCACACTAAAGGAAAGGCAGCTGTGTGTCTATCGCAAGGGTAGGGTTTCCCAGGCCAGATATCCCTGTCCCCGTGCTTTATCATTACATCACAAAGCGATTTTTCTTAGTAACTCGTTTGCATTTGTCTTTGGCATGCATTCCATTTGTTTACAACCATCGGCGAAACCCGTAAAACGGGTGGGAGATTCGGATGAATATTCATTTCACGAGTGTGCATAAATACGTAGATAGGAATACACACATACACAGCAAAGACTGGCTTAATCCATGGCCAAATTCGGGTCGTTAATGTTGTGTGCTCTTGCAGATGCTACCCAAGCGATAGCACCAAAGTCCCCAATATGCCGCAGAAGCTCCCGATGAGCAGCTGTCTGCGCTCCCCGGCTGTCTTCGTTCGCCAGAAATCGTTTCACACGCTCAACGAGCTGACCAGGTTCTGTCAATTGAAAGTGTCCCCCCATCGGGCCACCACCTCCGCATCATCGTCGGCGTCATCCTCCCCAGCAGCGGCGCAACAGCAGCGTCGCCACAGCCACTATGCCATCGATGGTAAGAGATCGGTAGTTCTCTGGCTGCCCTTAACCCGTATATAGAAGCCCCCATGAGGGGTAATTAAAAAACAGAGCCACACCATATCATCATAAATGCTCTCGCTCACACAACAACCCATATAACTATAATATATCTGCTCTGTGGCGGGGAATTAAAGTCAATTGGACGAATGAATTGGTGGGTGGCTGGCTTTGCTGACTGGGTGGGCGGGTTGGTTCGTTAATTCGGGTCCAGGTGGGTTGGCTGCTTCACGGAGACCTCACCTAACACACTACTCCACACACACGCTCTAAAACAAAACACACATACTTGGCTTGCATCCACAACGGTTGGCGCATAATTAATTTAATTGGCTTTGGTCATCGGCAACGGCATTCCCAATTGCATCGAATAATAGCGGCAATGAATAGGAGAGAACGGCATTAATGTTTAATATTTAATTAATCGCAAGCAGAAACGGCAATTGTTGTAATTAAATTACATATCCACCCTCATACGAAACAAAACGTGGTGCTACTGGTCCATTGCCATTGTAAATATTTGCACACACAACACAACATCTGCGTTTAATTTCTATTTATCCCTTATTTGATTTTCATTTTTGCATTTAATTTGATTTCCTTTATTTATTTTTATTCAACACCAAACGCACACGATACGCACAGACAACATATTGCCGCAAGATAAACGTGACGGTGACATCGATAGTGTCAGGCTGCGGGAGAAGTTGGTGGTGCCACCGATTGCGGGTGCCGGCAATAATAACAACCAGGACAACTACCCCACCTACTACCCGGCCCCCTTGCTGTCCACCAGTCGCTGGTCGGAACAGCTGACGCAGCATGCGACGGTAGCCAAGATCCGGACAGCCATCTCCTGCCACTCTCAGGATCTCAAGGAAATGGAGTTCCTTCTGCCGCACTCGCGAACCGAATCGCAGGCGAATTCCCAATCGCAGCTCTGCATTTCGCGGCACTCGCAGCCCAAGAATGCCAAGCTGCGGGATGATCACGACGAGACGGGCTCCTCGGAGCCGGATTCACCGCCGCTGGGCGATGAGAATGCCTCGGCGAATGGACAACTGTCGGTGCACAGGCAGCCGGTACAGCTGCGCAGTAAAATCCCGGGCAACACACCGCATCCGCGGGCCAGCAAAATGTCCAAGAAACAGCTGAAGTTGGCCCAGGCCCAGCTGGACAAGCTGACGCAGAGCAATCTGCACTTGCATGGTAGGGTTTACTCAAGAATTCGAGTAACTGGCACGCATCGCCACTGTCTCTAATGCTTAAAAGTTGATTACTTAGACTTAGGAAAGGGTTTCCACAGAAAACTCATTGGATATTGTGCTTTATTTATTCACAGCTCTGTTCTCGGCGGTGGAGCATGGTCATCTGGAGAAGGCAAGGACTATTCTAGAGTCCACCGACGTTGATGTGAATAGGTGAGGTTGAATCCCTTATATTAAATCTGAATATATATTCTAATAAATTCTTCTTCTCAGCATCAATAACGACGGACTATCCGCTTTGGACTTGGCCGTTCTCAGCAATAATCGCTCCATGACCAGGATGCTGCTCCAGCATGGCGCCATGGAGGGCTCTCAATGTGAGTTTAGTATCAATTTATACCTCGAATGCTCTTTTCATCGATCAATCTCAATCCGCAGTCTCCGTGGACACCATCGGCACCAAGCTGAACGGCCTGCTCAAGGACGCCGAGTCGCGGATTCACGATCTGAGTGGACCGGAGGGTCTGTGCCCGCCCATGTTCGCCTCGCGTCCCTCCATCTCGAGCATCATAATTGGTGAGTGGCCGTCGAGTCGAGTCAATTGGACGGGTGCACTTAATCAGAATCTCAATCTCAATCCGGCAGGCAATTCAAGCGCCTCGGTGACCGGCTGCACGGGCAGCGAGGTGGAGAAGCAGATCGGCATCTGGGAGCGCCGCGTGAAGGGACTGCGCCGCCTGCAGCTCGGCTGGGATCAGGCCAGGCCACCAGATGCCCCCGCCTCGGTGGTCGTCGACGTCACCGGCGACAATTCCATCAGCGTCCAAATCCTAGAGCCCTTCGAGGGGGCCATTGGCACGAAATTCAAAGGTAAGCCGCAGGAACGTCAAGTGGCAGTTCGTGGGAATGGGACATGTGATTGTGGTTAGGCCGTCATGCTGCGGTTAAGAAGTGGTTCTTGACTCGATTCGCGCTGTTTGTGTGCTTGTACCCTTCTCGTGTGAGGTGTCTGTTTTGGGGTTTATGGACTAGGTCTTTATTGTAACCAAAAAAAAAACCTATGCCCGTAAAATCGATATGGTCATGTAAATTTCAGGTCATGCAAAACCCATATCGTTTTACATGAAATACTCTTTTTACCTGGCCTCATATAAAATTGAAATTGATCTTAAATAATGTAAAATCGATCTACGTTTCATATCGACTTTTTTTGGGTGTACAAATTAAATAACCTATTAAATTTCCCCCGCAAATATAATTTATAAACTGATAAATAATTAAGTTAATAAGTAAACAGTCCTTTTAGTTCGATACCTGATTTAACCTTTCTATATTTCAGTCCAATGGTCGACCCGCGCGGATTTCAACAACGTTGTGGGCGAGAGTGAGTTGCTGGAGTGGATCAGCTTCCATGGCACGATGGGCGCCCAGTGCCACATATCGGGCCTCACCCAGGGTCGTCGCTACTTCCTGAGAGCCGCCTGCGGAAATGTCAAGGGCTGGGGTGCCTATCGAACTTCGGTGCCCGCCAGTGTGGTGCCCTCTAGTGAGTTAAAGTAATTTATTAAAATAGAATCCATTTAACTGGTTTTATCTTGAACAGCTTGGAGGGACTTGGACAATCGGGAGGATCGATTCGTGGGCCGACACCGCATCCTGGACAATCTGTTCACCGCCGTGCGACTGGCCAGACCCGCCGACGTCTCCGAGTTGACCTTGGATCCAGCGAGCGCCCAAAGGCGCAATCCTAAGAAGAAGACCACCATCAAGCAGCTGTTCTCGGTCACCTCCAAGTTCCAAAAGACACTGAGACGGTATGAAATGAAGAGTTACTAAAATAGTATAATGTTATTCATTTTATTGTATCCCGAAACAGCGGCATTTACTTCTCTTGCATAATCCACTGCGACGATAAAGTTCTGGTCACCAGCGAGGACTTTCCGCCGGTCATCGAGGTGGACGAGTCCTATCCCAGTGCCCTGCACATGGATTACTACTGGCTGATGAAGGTGGCCTGCACCTGGGAGGATGTCAAGTCTCTCCGTTCCGACATGGAGCGCAATCTCACGTCCGCCGTTCACTTCCGCACCAAGCTTCTGTCGGCCGTCTGCCAGATGCAATCGGCGCTGGGCATCACGGATTTGGGTCAGCTGTACTACAAACCACTGCGGGATGCCCAAGGCACCGTGGTGCTGACCTGTGTGCAGTCGGTGAAGAGCCAGAAGGCCGTCTCCATCCTGAACTCGCGTTGGCTGCCGGTCAGCAAGCTGCAGAAGAAGCTGGGTGCTCTGCACGAGGACTACACCATCAACGAGCTGCTCATCTCCTCGATTGGCGATCAGCTGCACTACCAGCAGGCGGCGCTGCAGCGACTGGAGCCGGGTCTCTACCTGGGCTACCTGAAGATGCAGTGCTCCATGGACCAGATCCAGGTGGTGGTGCCCGTGAAGACGCCCAATGTCCTGCCCCACTGCAAGGTGCGCGAGAATAGTCACATTACTGCAGAGGAATGGCAGGTGCTCCACCGCTGCAGTGGCGATCCTCTCCGCCTGCCGCTGGACTTTAGCTCTCAAGGAGGTGATTCAGCCTGTGGAGGAACAGCTACCACCGAGGTGCAGCGGCTATTCCTGTACGATCTCACCAATGCTATGCACAAGCTGTTCGCGAGCATGAACATCAAGGCCAAGGATGCCACCACCCATCGGCTGTACGACGTGGAGGTGATCGAGCACAGTCCGGACATTAGTTTCCTGGTCGTCTGCCCCTCCGCCGAATCCTCGTGCGCCGTGCCCGGCCAGTCGGAGTTGCTGCTGCAGCGGGATGACCTGGCCAGTCTGAGTATCCAGGCCTTCGAGATGATTCACCTGCGCACCTATCAGCCGGCCATTATTCAAAAGTACGCCCGTCTATCCTGCATCCTCGAGTTGGACACCGCTTTGGCCACTCATGCGCTTCGCGAGGCTTTCTCCAGCAGCGAACTGCAGGCGGCCAAGGAGCGTTTGGCCACGCTGCAGGAGCTGAGCTCGAGCCTCACGATTGTGTGGAAGAGCGTGCGCTGGCTAATGGATGTGGTGGCCTATGCGAGGAACAAGAATGCACAACCCTCGCTGGCGATGCGAGAAATCCTGGATTTTTCACAGCAGCGGCAGGATGAAGCGGTGGCTGGATCATCGGCGGGTTCCACTAGCAAACAGCTGCTGCAGCTGCCCATTCGTGAAAGTAAATTCTCCAAGACTGGTCAAGGCAGGGGCAGTTGGCCAGGTCCGGGAACCAACGAGGATCCCACGCAGCGCAAGCCGGAGCACTCAAAATCGGAGCAGAATCTAGAGCTGAGTGTTATTACGCCGGTGGAACCTGCGACCAAACCAGTTCCTACTCCGCAGCAGCAATCGCAACAGCAGCAACAGCAACTTTTGCAAGTTTCCACCACCAGCGAATATGCGGGCTCCATTTGCTCGGAAGTTTCCTTCCGCAAGAACAGCGGCGACTCCATGAGCTCCACCTACACGTCTCGCAGCTTCTACTCCGCCGTGGATTCCGCCTCGGATGGAAATAGCACAAACAGTGTGTTTGCCATTCCGCCCTCGCGATCCGACGACACCTTGGCGGATGCACTGCGTCACTCGCAGGCGGTGGCTGCCCAACGCAAGCGAACCAGCTCCAATATCGGTCCCCAGACCAATCCCCTGATCACGGTGCACAGCTCCAACTCGGCTCCGTATCTGGCTGGATCCAGTGTATCCTTAAGAAGCGGCAATGGAGCCTTCGCCACGGATCTGGAGCACAAGCCACTGAAGCCAGCGACCAAGGCATCCTCCAGTGCGAATCTACGCGAGGGAGGACCCTATTTGAAGAGCACCCTGGCCGAGCTGCGGGCAGTGGGCGGCGAGGAGCCGGTGGCCAGCACCTCGAAGGCCTCGTCGATGAAGAGCTTGTCGCGGCAGAGCAGCGAAGAGGACTCCGCCAGCTGTTCCAGCCTCAACGCCGAGCAGACGCCGGGGATTATTCAGGTGTATACCGCCTACAATACGGGACTGGCCAGTGGAACCAGCCTGAAGCTGCACGTAACACCCAAGACGACGGCCCGGGAGGTGATCAACCTGGTGGTGAAGCAACTCAACATGGCCGTCGTGCTTAAGGGAAACAACGGGCCCGTCTACGGACCCGAGATGCTGGAGAACTTTTGCCTGGTGGCGGTGATTGGAGCTAGGGAACGGTGCCTGCGGGATGACTTCAAGCCGTTGCAGCTGCAGAATCCCTGGAAAAAGGGGCGTCTGTACGTCCGCAAGAAGCACGAGTTGCTGGCGGCCATCGAGCACTCCAACCGGAAATCGCATTTGATCTGAAGAGCAGGATAACTAGCGAATGAGATCTCTCGAGATTTAAAAGTTTAAGATTTAAGATATGGCGAAAGTCGGCATATTCACGATTCACCACTTTGTTTTTGAAACTTTAGAGATTTATCTGCAATCCGGGATTTTCGTATATTGTACATTTTGTTGTGTTTTAGTTTTTGGGTTCCCCCAATCACAATTCCCAACTCCCACCCTCTTCAGGGCCATGATCGTTGACCAATCCCCGAATTAGACTGAATTACTTATGTATGCTGCAATGGCAAACTGATAAAATTGTATTTGAAACGGTATTATATTTTGAGTAGTTATACATTCTACATTACCCAAGCAAACACGAACACACACAAGCGAATCGGACTAAACAAAAACAGATTGTTGTTAGTTGTTCTAGAGTAAAGAAGGCTACGCCCGTACATAAGTAGTATGTATGTTATATAAATATTATGCGTGCATCAATGTATTTTATTGTATGTATTTTTGTAGATTAGTAAACAAATGTTTTGATTGTATTTTTGTGGCATTTTTAGGGGCACATTTTTTGATCTAAATGTTAAATCGTAAATCGGTAAATACGGAACACGAAAACAAACAACCAAATTGTTGGCGAAACTCAAAGAACAAATGTCAATATGCATTTTAAGTGTCACTCTTGATGTCTTTGATGTGTGTGTGTTCTTAGAAATTGCAATTCCCTTGGATTAAACAAATAATTTAGCTGTAATCAATTGCTTAGTATGTAAACAAATCACCGCAACACAAATGATAACGAAAACGGAGAATATTTTTTAAAAATATATTGGCACAACTGAATGTTGAAAAAAGAATAGGCAACTTGAAATTAAACTGTTTGTATTTATTAACTGTAGCAATGATATCTCCGAGTCCAAGTCCGACCCTATCTACTCCACTCAGCAATTGGCTCGACGAGCTTCCTATACACTTGATAATCCTACTCCACAATCTACTCAACTGTTGGCCCACTTAGAACCCATACTATTAACGTGGCTATCTCAATGTGCGAAGCCGTATGTGTCTATAAATAACTACTCTACTCTGTACTCTCTCAATAGGAAATACCATAAGTAAACTAGAGGAAGTTCTGCAGATACACGTGTTTGTTGTGAACCGGTAGTCAAAGAACAGTCTCATTGTCAAGCTCATGATGTCCCAATTTAAACTTATTTCCATTGGACGACAAGTCGAATTTAGATTGGAGTCGCAGGTCGTGAAAAGTATACATTTTGAATCTTATGAGAAACTAGACGAGAACACTTACTTTAAAGAATGTGCAACACAGAGTCCATAACAAAGATATCGAACTATTTAAGATGTCTACGACCAACAGACGATTTTTGTACGTTTATTTCTTGTTTTTGAGATGGCGATTAAGACGATTTTGATACATTTTTACTCTATGGTTTACCAGTCCTAGGGCTCGACGAACAGCAACGAACGTAGCTAAGTTTTGACCACAGAAAATGCCCAATATAACATATATTATACCCCCTTGCGTTCACAGCCCGGTTTCAGATTTGTATTGCCGCCACCCAATTGCCTCAATTCGAATTTTCAATGGTCCCCAGAATGGTCGAGCGAACGAACAACGAATGTAAACTAGTTCCAAATCCAAACTGAGTGGCCAGTTTCAGTTTGTTAATTCGGAATGCCAATTAAACGATTTCAATTGTCAGACACAGCGTCCGTCCCCAGAAAAGAGCGTTTGGTTTTCGAATGGAGCGAAATTATACAGAGTATTATTTTGAATTGCGATCCAGTGAGATTAGTTTTTACGATGCAATCTAATTGTAGCTGTAGCTAATTGTTAATGGCCTACGAAAATGCGAGAGGCGAAATGTAAATGTAACCAAAAAGCATTGAACGAGTCTTTCCGCATATGAACATGAAAAACACATCAACGCAGACAATTCCTGTAATTAGATATACATATATATATAGAAGATGAAACTTATCAAGTGTAACTCAGTGTCAGTACATCCATTATCGGCATTATCGACTACCTGTGTACATTTTTGGTGTGTTAATGGCCTACAATATATACGATACACTCCGAGTAAGGAGCCAAAAAGAGGGCAACTAGCTTTGGTAAGGATAATATGGGTACGAAGCATTCAAAGAATATTCAATTAACTTAATAAAGACTCAACAAATGTTATGGTGTAATTTCTTGTTTTGCTTGTGGGTGAGGGTGTTTAGAAAGTTCTGGAATCCAGATAAATTAATGATATACAGCGGAAAGTGCAAAATCATGCAGGGCAAGTCAGCCGGAACATAATGATGGGTCACATTTTATACTGGAAGTGGTTTATAGAGCCCGCATTACGTATACGCCCCGTGTGGTGCTCGGCTGATCAAGCGCTTATCAAGCGACCCTGCACTTGATGCAGTGCGATTTGTCTTACAAAATGGCAAAAAATAGCTAATAACGATAACGAGCTGATTACGCCCGCTATAAGTGTGCGGCTATCACATTTCACCAGTTGCCAAGATAGTGTCCGCCGGTTTGATTGTATTCCAGAGCCTTCTTCCAATGTTCCGATTGTTTGGGCAACATGTTGCCAATGTTTATTTCGGATTCCGATGCGTCATCGCAGGCATGGATACCCATTTAGTGACGAAACGAGCCCGGAGCTGTAAAGATCGGCAAACAAGTTATATTGAGTCAGCTCCAGCTATTTCTCTCTTTTTTTCTGTGGGGGATTTTGGAAACATACAAGTCATTCTAATGGGAGAAACAGCGCGATAAGTGCGCTTAGTGTTTGTGTTTTCTGTGCGTTTCTCTTGCCACAACACTCCCATCTATTTATATGAGTTTCCATGTACTTTTGAACTTTGGCCCCAAATTACATGTTCCCTTTCGCACCCACCTGTCGGGCCGCGCTCATCAATAATCCATTCGTCCAGCGACTTCCTCCACTTGTCAATTAAATGCCCCACTTACAGGTCTCGCCGCCTATTTCACCTCCACTTCAGTTCACTTCACTCCAATCTTAAATCTCAAATCTTGACTCACTCCAGTCGTTTACGGGCATTGTAAATTTTTCCCGCTGATTAGTTTGTTTCATCCGGACAGATTCCACATTTTTTTGGTTAGTATTTCCATTTATTGTGGCGGGATTTATGGCCACTAGCTGTTGCACTGATACCATCTAAAGCACCAGTTATATATTTAACATATCTCCCGTTGTATACAATATTCTAATCAACTGCGGGGCTTTTTTGTTTCCATTCCGGGTGGGTCAGCCACGTGATCTGGATGGGTCGTCGGGCGAGACGCTTCTGCCTTTAATTAGATTTGAGTCCACCAGAAGCGGAGGCCTAGACGGCGATTAGCGGGGCAAATAACAAGCCAAGAGCACTTGTCGATTGGCGACCAGAGCATATAAATTACACCAGCTGGACGTATACTTAATTTGTAGTAAGCCACTCAAACCGGTTGGGGTTCGAATCGCTGACCCCCAGTGACACACAACAGCCAATTGTCGTTTTTGAAACGCTTTATGTTCAGAATAAGTATTGAAAAATCGTTTACAGTAAAATCAATCGATCGGCTCCGAATCCTCAATCTGGGTTTTGTATAACAAACAATAAGTACACCACTGTACACAGCATACATTACAAACATTAAAACTATAGCCTAGCATCTGGATGTGGGATCTCTAAATCTAATTGCTGGACCGCGAGGCGCCCACAATATAGCCCTTGGCGGTGAGAACGCCTCGGCAGCGGACGTGCACCTGGTAGCGCAGCGACCAGTCGATTGTGTAGCCCGGCGCCAGGCCGGCGAACTGCTCCGCGGGCAGCAGGAGCTCCGGATCGCTGTGCGTGTTCAGCTGGATGTCGTGGGCGGTGCAGAACTCCTGCAGTTCCGGCGGCACCACGCAGCAGGTGGACAGGTTGACCTGGGCAATGGTGGGCGCCACCTGGGCGCTCTTGTGCAGCTCCTCCAGGGCCGCGGCATCCAGATCGGCGATGCCCAGCTGGGTGATCTGCTGCTTGAGGGCATACTGCTCCAGGCTCTGGTAGAGCTCCTTCAGCTGCGCCACGCCCTCCTCCCCGTTGCGCTGGCTCCAGTTGTTGGCCTTGCCGACGGCGAGGCCCTCGGAACAGGGCGACTTGGTTGTGGCCACCGGCGTTGCGCTGGCAACCGCATTCGGGTGGTAGGCCAGCACCACATTGTCCACGTGCGTCACGCTGAGTATGCCGAGCAGAGCCTCCACCGCCTGATTCACGCACTCCGCGGAGCGGCGGTTGAGGAATATCTTGGCCCCGATGCTGATCTCATTGCGGCCGTTCTCCGTGAGCCGGGTGGTCAGCTCCTGGGTGGCCCGCTGCACCCGGCCGTGCAGCTCGTCGATCTCCTTCTCCACCACCACGCGCTCCGCCGCGGGATCGCTGAGCAGCGTCAGCTTCAGGCCGTCGTACAGCTCCTCCTCCGACTTGCGCTGGCCCAGCAGCTCCGTGGCGATGATGTTGCCCGTGCTAATCACCACGTTCTGGTACTTCTTCGTTATGGTCGGTATCATGGTGACAAGTGTAAATGGTATTCTCGCTCGGTATCTGTTTCTGTTTCTGCTACTTCCGCGGCCGTCAAGACAAGTGCAGCCCTCTCAGGTGGGTGAAACGCGTGTGTTCTCGAGCACCGAGCGCCTGGCCACTTAAATACACTTTGCACCGAAATGAAATTCGAGAACAGTGTAGCCAACTCGTAGGGTCGTGAAAAAGCTAAACTGGCCTTTGAAAATAGCTAGAAGTAGCCAGAAAATATTCATGTCGGCACTTACCAACACTGCAACCAATCTGAAACACCCTGTGGGCCTGTTTTGTTCGTGTTTTTGGCGCAAAAGTTGAACTGATTTGAATTAAAAGAAAGATTCAAAGGGCGCGTAGTTAATAAGAATCTGAATACAGAACCAACCAACCGCAATGATTAGTTTGTCTTTATTTCCAATTTATAAAAATAAGAAAAACCCTTTGACATTTTTAATTTTATGTACTTGGTTAGAAATATTTTAAAAATATGGAAATTTAATAACTCTACTCAACGTTAGTTTTATTTTTAGAAAAAAAATTAAACTATTTTAAACTAAATTATCAAGAAAAAAAAACGGAGTGAAACGGACAAACCTAATTTACAGTAATCAAATTGAGAACCGATACATTTGTTTAAAATTTGTCATACCTAACCAGTCTAACGGTCGATAGCTGTCAAAAGTGACAGCTTTCAAAACTTCACAGCAGATTTCAGAACATTTACCGCAACTCTGGAGAGAAGAATCAAAAGACTGGGATGTGTCGACGGGCTGTGCGCGAGTGGCTGGTGCTGCTGACCATGGAGAAGTACATCGAAAGGTTTTTAGAGCGGGGATACGACAGTATTGCCAGCTGTAAGCTCATTGTCGGCAGCGACCTGGTAATGCTGGGAGTGGATGATGCCACGCACCGGAAGCTCCTGCTCGACGGAGTGCAGTTCCTGAACAACGCGCCCGAGAGATTTACTTGCAAGGAGCCATGCGAGCTTCATCACCATCTCGACTCGTATGTGGATGCTGGCCTCAAATTTGATGCCTCCAAATGCTGGGAAAGTTTGAATTTCCCAAAATCACCGGATAGAGAGGAAGTGGACCCACTTTCGGAGCGTTTGATTTCACCAAAGACTGCCAAAAGAGCTTTAAATCAGGAATTCGACGAGTTGAATGTGGAGGAAGTCTCGCAGTTTCCATCCGATGTCGCTAACATGAAACTACGTCTGAATAACCCCCTCCAAATTGAAAAATGATTAAAAACAATGAAAAGCTTCATTAAAAAAACCAATTATGTACCTGTAATTCAGATATAATAATAAACTTGGACTGTTAGTCAATAAATTAAAATAACTCTTTGTAGTTAGAAAAATCAGATTTATAAGAACGAATAAAACAGCGGACCATTTATTTGTTCTGGCTTTTACAATGGAGTTCTTAAACATAAATTACCAACAAAGCGTTCATATTTTAAATGCCACGCCAACAGTGAGGATGATCCTCTTGGGTTTTAAATAAATACATATTTATATAGAGGGACCAATTAAAAATGATGAGCGGATGCCAAGAAACTCGGGTTTCTCGGGCTTTACTTAAAAGTGATCAGGGGATTCAACAAAGCGTTCAACAAATATTTGATGCCCCTCATCAAATCCTGCAAACGAGCATCCATGGGAGACGCGGCCACCACTCGTTCGATAGTGGCTGTGCCCAAATCCGGCGACCGGCAGTCCACGCACTCGATGGTCTTCAGTTGCACCTGCACGCTGTCGGCCAGAAGTCGAGAGTTATGCAGGGTTCCGTAGAAAAGCACAACATCGCCCTCGCTCAGGAGCCGGGTGAAGTTCCCAAAGTCATGGTGAGCTCGTAGAATCACATCGGTGGAGGTGGAGCGGCCCAGGAGACGGCCACTCTTCCTGGCGCCCACTTTCACCAGCAGCTCGTACTCGTAGCGATTCCACCGTTGCAGCGTGCAACTTCCACTCTGCGCCTTCAGGGTTTTAATTACACTGCGCCACTCCTCGCACTGCTCATCCAACTTGGGATCGCACCTGAAGTGCTGCGATATATTCTCGCCATGCACACAGCGCAGCAGCCTGCCCAGCCACACGGGAAGATAGTTGGCGATGACATCCTCCAGGATGTTGGACACCCGCGAGATCTCCACTTTGGTAACGCTGCCCTCCCAAGTCACGGGCATTCCATTCAGATGGGAGCAGCGCAGCTGTGCCTTGATCTTGTTGGGCTGCTCGTTGATTGGTTGGGCACACAGAGCGTTGAAGCGATCCCACGGCAGGGTGTCCGTCTCGGAAAGCGAGTGCAGACCCACTCTGGGCATGGCATTAAAGCGGGGAGTGTCCTTGAAACTGGACGTCATGTAGGGAAAGACCAACAGGCAGGCTGTAGTCACTGCCATTAAAAGCTGAAAGGAAATTAATCGTAAGTAAGTAACATATGTTATCATTTAATACAAGTACTCACCTGCAGCATGGTTATGTATTTCTGGGTGGCCCTATTCAAAGCCAGCACGCAGGATAGCACCACCACCATTCCACAGGCAAGGGCGGTGCTGCCCCAGCGCAGTTGCTCGCTGGCCAGTCCCAAGCTATCGATGGCCACGAAGACGGGCACAAGAAGCGCCACGATTCCGAAGAGCGGGAGAAACAAGACTATGCCGGCCAGGCCGAGCGCAGCCCGCATCGCTCCAAACATGGTGGCACTCTGCGAGGTGGCGATGCACACCTGCAGCCAGCTGAGCGTGACGCAGTGCGGAATTAGGTAGGTGTAGACTCCATGCCAGCGGCAGCGCTTGGCCATCATCACCAGCAGCACGGGAATAAAGAGATACAGGGCGGTGCGGCAATTCAGGCAGAACTCAATGCCATTTCCAATGACAAAGGAGGAGAAGGTGGGCACGCGTAGGTCCAGAAAGCGCCAGCGGGTGGAGACAACCTCGTCCATTTCGTACGGATACTTGGCGAGCACGTTCACGGCAAAGGAAACGATCACCAGCCAGTCGGGCAGTAGATGAGAGGAGGCGTACATGGACACCCCCATGGTGAGAAACGTGAAGGCTCCGGAAACAATAGTCAATTCCGAGTGCGGCAGCCAGGCGTCGGTGACCAGCGGATAAACGATCAGGTTGCAGATGAAGGCACAAAAGTAGTACAGGTACGGCTTCATGTTGTTGCGCAGAAAGCGCTGCTCCGCAATGTCCGCCTCGATGTTCTGATCTCCGTACCTGAGGAACAGTCCCGACCAGATGCGAAAGTCCACGAACTGCTGTTTGGTCTTGAGCATCTTGCACGTGGCCCAGATCATGATGGCCATACTCAGGTAGTAGCTGACCAGGGGCAGCATGTGCCGGCTGCTCCACCAGGAGAGGGCCACGAGCAGACTGCAGCGGACACTCAGCGGCGCGACATTGGGAATGGACACAATCAGATTGAGCAGGCGGTGGTAGAAGAGGCTGAAGAAGATGAGCGGGTGGAAGACCATGCGGTAGAAGCAGGGCACATGGTCCAGGCTCCTCGGATCGGGCACGGACAATGTGAGGGCGTCATTGACGCTGGGCATCTGGCCGGCACTGTAGTTGGAGGCGGCCGAAACGAGGTGCGCCTCGGTGATGAGGCTGCGTCGCTCCACGCTGGCTTGGCCAACAGAGGGCACATCCTCGAGGGGTTCGCACTCCTGCTCGCCCTCGCTGCTCGACGAGGAGCGCTCGTCGTCGCGTCGACGCCGCTTTCGCTGCAGATTGTAGATGCGCCGCATCTTGCGCTCCAGCTGCTTGGGCGTGATGTGCTCGTTGCCATTTGAGAGGCAGGCAAAGAGCTCCCGGGCTGCTTTTCTCGCCGCCCGCTCGCCCGGAGTCATGGCCAGGCAGCGACGCACCTCGTCCGCATTCTCCGCCGTTATGCCGCTGCCCTGGTTGTAGCACTGCCGCAGCAGCTTGGCCGCATCCTCGTGTCCATTGTGGGCGGCACTCACCAGCCAGTTGACGGCCTTCTGGTTCTGATTGCCCTTGGCAGGATTGGGCTCTAAGTAAAACAGGGAAATCTCCATTATCCTGTGATTCTCCGCTACGCTATTTTACTACTCACCTATGGCATTATCGAGCAGCTCCTTGGCCAGATCGTACTGCATCTGGGGACATCCCTCGGAGGCAATGTGATGCTTCAGTTTGTTCAAGGAGGCGCGATCTGTGAGGGAGTGTATCTCCATGTTTGGAAGGTATTTCATGACAGGCTTCGGGACTTACCCTCCAGGTTCCAACGCCTGCGCTTGGTGACACCTGTCGGCTCATTTTGTGTCCAGGTGGCCATTTACAGGCCGTCTTTTCGCTTTGTTTACGAAAATCTATGAAATAATTCTCAGCCAGACTCGATAGTGATGGCATCGTGTGCCCACTTCTAATAGAGATGGGCGTTGGTAGTCACGAACGTTTTTAGCCTGTTCAGACAGTTTCTGCTTCAGCGAGAAAATTCCGGAAAAACTTCTTATCAGCTGTTATAAATTGTAAAGAAATTTTTGTTCGTGTCTCGACCAGGAGAGTAGACAGGATTTGGCTGGGTGCATGTTTTTACTACAAATAGCATAGTAGCATTCTTTTGACGCAGTGGCGGCTTAAGGATTTGGTTGTAAGGGAATTTCAAAACAAATTTATAGAAGGGGGATTCCCTAAACTGTTAAATTGCTGAATTGTTGGAAATTCAACAAAAAAATTTAAGCAATTAAGGGAACGACCCAAAATGGTTCCTGTTGAATTTTCAAACAGCTGTTATGTTATAAAAATCACACGGAACTTAAAGCATGTAAAATTTGATTTATTATTGCTATTTACTGTCTAAAAGTGTTACCAAGGTAAAAATAACCACAAATATGCTTTCTAAGTTGATTTTAAAATAAATAATGCGTACTGGTGATACTAAAATGTTACAGAGTTGCCACGACTTTTAAAAAAAAGTGACAACTCTGGCTTTTCAGCAATTCAACAAAATTTTCAACAGCCCCGAGGCTGTTGAATTGCTGAAATTTCTGAAAGTTTACTTTGTCTGGAACAGCTGATTAACAGCTGACCAAAATTCAACAATTCAGCAATTCAACAGTTTAGGGAATCCCCCTATACTTTTGAACACCTGATTTCTTTTCATTTTTCACCCAAGTGGTGGGACTTATAACGAACATGGCTAGATCGATTTTGCTAGTAATCCTGATCAAGAGTACATATACTCTATAGGATCGGATAAGCTTTATTCTTCCTGTTACATACTTTCCGATGAATACAATATACCATCTTACACCACAATTAACGGGCATAATAAGATAATAGGGGTATAGCTAAAAACTTCTCGTTATTTTCGATCTCGTATCCACTTCACAAAAAACTAAAAACTAATCTATTTATGGTCATAAATTAACCCTAATTTATTTATTTATTTATTCGTTAGAGGTAGAGTAACTATTTTAATAAAATTAAACTTCCCGACTTATAGCAAAGCTATTGCCATCAGGCCTTTGGCTGATTGACGTAGGTCTTCAGCTATTTAATTTATTTAATGAGCCTTAACAAATAAAAAGTATGAACTGTGAAAGTTAAAATATGTGCAAACTTGGCGACGACGAGGGACACTTGTCTCCGTTCAACGTTAAAGTGCCACAGATGGATCGGGTTTCAGATTCACAACCATGAATGATAAGGAAAAACAGGGAAAAGTAAACATTTGAAGTGGCTTTTGATAAACCATTGAGTTTTACAATACCACAAGGACAACAAGTCGATGAGATTTTCGGGTGGTGGGCATTCGGAAATCAAACAAGAAACTGTCGAGTTTAATTGAAAACGCCAATTCATCATAGGGGGTGGGCTGGATATTCATAGTGGGCATCGGCCACCCTCCTCCTTTATGTAATTGAATACCTGCTCCATTCAAGGGTAATCGCATCAGCAAAAGAAGCTAACGAAATTAGCGACAACACAATCCGAGATCCTGAGTCTTTTGGGCGCGTGCGCCTGCCACAAGCATCATTACAACACTAATTACTCGAGTATTATCGAAAGGCATTCAGTTGAAAGGGAATAACGAGTAGCAGTTCCTGCCCCGATCCATTCCCAATCGCACACCGCACTTGGTCCTGAATTGGTTACTCAAATCTGACCGCAAAACACCGTGGCCTCACCCTCACCCCCACCTCTACCCCCTTTCGAGCTGGTCTTCCATTGTTGGCTTGACTTCCCGGCGCCCGCGGCACTAAGAGCCACTGAATTGGCAATAAAAAGATTATAGCCCGAAGGTGTGAAGTGTAGTGGAGAACAGGGAATCGCATCGAGCCAGAATCAGCGCACAAAAGCCAAAAAAGAAAACACCCCCAACGGCGAGGCGCCGAGAGCATGTGCCGGTTTTCCTCGGATTCGTTCCCAGCCTCTCACTCACTTCGAGTGAAAACAGCCGAGTGTTTTTCCGACTGAGTGCGCAGCCATGTTGCCTGCTCTTCTGAGCATCCAATCAGCGAGGAAGAGTGGTCTCTGGGCCACATGGTAGCCAATGGCGGGAGCTTTCGCCGAGAACTCCCACGATAATCTCAGGATTGAGGGCATCAGGTCTTTAAGGTTTCTTTCGAACCATCAGATTCTTAAGTCGTTGCCTTTAATGTAAATTAAGACATTTTAAAGTAAACAGAAATTCGTAGTTTGACAAATTATTTTATGTATAGCTTTATATAAAGTCAAGAATAAAAATATATTTAATTTATATGCATATAATTTAATTTAAAAACACTTGTGTTTCACTACTAGTTGAAAAATATTGTAGTTAAAATTGTAAGTGTGTGTATCGCTGCCTTTATAAAATAATGAAATAATGATAATTCCTGATTTTCTTTCATATCCTTAAGTTTGGCATCGGCATCGACATGGTAGCGTCCAGGGGTCCAATATACAGGGACAACAAAAATATGGAGTTAAATAATTTCTTCTTAATTCTACAATTCTACAATTTTTAGAATTAGATCTTTTTAAATAATAATAATAAATAATTGATTGGTCGGCATAATGTCATTGCTTTGTCATTGCGTATATAAAAAATTGGTCATAAATCTGTTTTCGATTTGAGTAGACATTTCGAATTTTACTTTCGAGACATTTTTTTTAATGAAATGAAAAACAGTGGACAGTCAATAATATTTGTTTACTAAAAAAATGTAAAATGGTAAAAAATGTGCTACCGAAATATTATATTTCTTTAGACCCATAAAAGTGTTGTTTAGTTAGCTCACAATCCCAAGCAATTCCATTACCCAACTAACCTACTTAGAGGCAGGAGTGCGAGTTTACTAATACCTTTTCGGATTCTTTCCGAATGATTTAAATTCTAAACAAATCGTTTGCCTAAACAAATGGAAAAAGTATAGTAAGGGATCACATCTTGGGGACTGTACCCAAAATATAAAATACGAAATACCGGAGAGCAGTTAGCAGGGTTATAAACAATAAACAGGATGCATGCACTCCCCGAAAAAAAGAAGGCGCACCATATAAGTAGACGCAACCGTTACCATTTTACGACAAATTTTGTTTACCCACTTGAGAGGAAACTCAAAAGGCTCTCCGTCCGCCTTTTGTATCCACCAATGGGAGGAATCGAATGCCACTATCCACCACCAGATGCCGACGAGCCACTTGAGTGCGGCGCACATTTCCACTCCGTGAAACTGAGTGATTCTCGCCGGGGATCTGGGCAGCTATTTAAAGACAGCCCGGAGCGTCCAACTCAAGCACATTCGCTACGCAGCCCTCGAGTCGTAAAGATCGGAAAATCGAAGAAAAGTCCGGAGTGAACAAGTGTCGAGAAAGTAAAACCCCTAAAAAAATATTCAAGAAAACCCAAAAAATGCTGAATATGGAAAGTGCGGGTGTGGGTGCTGCGATGGCGGGTCTGAGCAAATCGCTTACAACTCCCTTCTCCATCAACGACATCCTGACGCGCAGCAATACGGAAACATCGCGTCGCATGTCCAGCGTGGACTCCGAACCGGAACCGGAAAAGCTAAAGCTAAACCCCTCCGATCGCGAGCGATCCGCCTCCAAGTCACCGCCGCTCTGCTGCCGAGATCTCAGTCTCTACAAACTGTCGCAGGCCAAGGAGATGCAGTCGAGTACCCGGCCCACCAACAACTATCTGCAGTACTATGCGGCGGCCATGGACAATAACAACCATCATCATCATCACCAGGCAACGGCCACGTCGAACTCCAGTGCCGCGGACTATATGCAGCGCAAATTGGCCTACTTTGGATCCACCCTCGCCGCTCCCTTGGACATGAGACGCTGCACCAGCAACGATTCCGGTAAGTTATCACAAAGTTAGCGCCGCCATTAAGAGCTAATGGATTAAAGACCCCTTCTATTGTATAGAGTTTTTTCGTGCGCCTTGCTAATTTTCCGTAATTTTCCTTCAACAGACTGCGACTCACCGCCGCCTTTGAGCAGCTCGCCCTCCGAATCGCCACTTTCCCACGACGGCAGTGGTTTGAGCCGCAAAAAGCGGTCGCGTGCCGCCTTCAGCCATGCTCAGGTCTTCGAACTGGAGCGCCGTTTTGCCCAACAGCGCTACTTATCCGGGCCAGAACGCAGCGAGATGGCCAAGAGCTTGCGGCTGACGGAGACCCAGGTGAAGATTTGGTTCCAGAACCGTCGCTACAAGACCAAACGCAAGCAGATCCAGCAGCACGAGGCTGCTCTTTTGGGCGCCAGCAAGAGGGTGCCCGTCCAGGTTTTGGTGCGCGAGGATGGCAGCACCACCTACGCCCACATGGCTGGCCCGGGGGCGGGGCACGGCCTGGATCCCGCCCTGATCAACATCTATCGCCACCAGCTGCAGCTCGCCTACGGTGGTCTTCCGATTCCCCAAATGCAGATGCCCTTCCCGTACTTCTACCCGCAACACAAGGTTCCACAACCCATCCCACCGCCCACACAGTCGTCCAGTTTTGTGACCGCATCCTCGGCGTCCTCGTCGCCAGTTCCCATTCCCCTCCCCGGTGCAGTGCGTCCGCAGCGAACCCCGTGCCCGAGTCCCAATGGCCAGGTGATGAGTGTGGAGAGCGGAGCCGAGAGCATCCATTCGGCGGCGGAGGATGGCGACGAGAATGTGGAGATCGACTAGGTTGCAGGAGGCAACTTCCCGGAGCAGGAGGAGGGGTTACGTTTTTGTGATAGCCGTAGAAATTGTGTTTTAGTCTCTATGTGTAACCAATAGATGTCCCATAGCTTTAGTAGCCTTAAGTTTTAGTTGTATCTACCAAAGAGCTAAATAAAATCTTAAATGAAATGAAACTTTGTGTGTGCTAACGTTTATTGATAACTTGGTCTATTTTATTGTGTTTAATTTATTTATTATTTATTTTACAATTTATTATCATGCATTTAAAACTATTAAGTTTTGTATACTTGTCATGGAATAACTTGAGCTACTCTGGAACGCTTATTCTACACTTTACTTGAAAGTGGACTTTTAATTGGAAAACAATAAATACATTTTTCCAAAAATCCGAGAATGGGTAAGGCTAGATAAATGTAGATGGGTTTTTCCTAATATCGGCTAGTATTTTGTCTGTTTGCGAGATTACTCGTCTTTATGGCAAACTAAAAGTATGCTTTAATCCTTGAAAACGAACGGAAAAATGTTTAATTTGTTTAATTTTAATCAAGGAGCGAGAGATAAATGAACATATATATGTTATCTTACGCTATTTGTAGAAAGTAATAATGGTGTTCTTAAAAAGCTAATGAACATGTAAAAATTAATGGGTCCAAACATTTTCTTAAAAGTCTTATAAAGGTTGCTAACAGTGAAAATGTATTTGCATTGACCAAATAAATACGTAGATTAAGTTTAATTTTAAGAAATCTTTATACATTTTAATTTAATTTCAATGGGTTTGTTTTAGCTGATATCTCTTTGAAAGAGTAATTGAAACTCCCAGGCGATTGTTATATAAAATGATACCACATGACCTCAATTCGCATCAACAGGCGGGAGAGACTTCTCAGACCCTTCAGAAATGACAGCGATCGGGCGGATGAGGGCCTCGAGATGCGTTCCGCTGAAGTGGCCATGCGTGTGGCCCGGAGCCTTGCAAAAACCGAAATCCGAAAGCCGCTGATGATGACCGACTATGACGAGTCCACTCAATGTCGACATAGAAGTGCTTCAATGTGTCAGGAGGGTCGGGCCGGACGTCTGTGACCCACAAACCACTGACTTACATACGATCCTCTCGAGCGCTTTTGCACAAGATCATCGCGGGTGGGGGAGGGATGGGAACGGGACATAGACATGTCCTTAGCAGCACAGTTGGTGGCTGACGACAAAGAGGACAAGCCTCAAGTGCCTGGCGGCGACAATTCTAACGGTCCTACCAGGCGATATTTATAAACAAACAAACAAATAGACTCACAAGCTGACGCCCAGGATGGGAAAAAGGACATGTGACCAGTGAAAAATGTAATCGACCGATCATTGCTAAACATCCACTTCAGAATTATTAGGGGCGGTTAGCAACAATGTTGATCATATTTCTTGTGAAACATTTTTAAATTCCCATCAGCAGAATTCACCCTTTCCTTCAATTAAAAAAAAAATTACTCAAAAAGTTTCAGAAAAGATTGAAGAATATTGCATTTAAAGTTTAACATATTCTTCGTTTTAGAAAGGTAAAAAAGGCTTTCTAAAGTAATATTTATAGCTATTTTTTCTAAAGGATAGCCTTTGACGTCGAAAGTATAACAACCTTCCAATTTTCGGGGGTAATTTTTCCGAGTGCTGGAAATCTTCGGAAGTGGGGCATTGAACGTGCCGGTCTTGCGACTGCCAACTGAAAAAACAATTCGGATATGAGCGATCTCTCTAAGTACATATTTTGCTCTTGGGCGCATTCTTAGACTAAAAGCCCGCAGGCATTTGACAAATTTGGGACACTAAAATCGATTGACAGTTGTAATTACTTGTGTCAATAAGAGTTTCAGCAGTTCGAGAATGTATCTCTTTGCCACTCGGCTCCAGAAATATTATCTTATTTCACTTTTCAAGCAAACACTCTTGTATTCCAGGAAGTTTAGTATAAAAGATTTAAGTTATGCTTTTTGTTTTATACGAGTTTAATGAATATTTATTTTTAAGAAACCACTTTAACTTTATATTGCATTTTCTTCTTTCTAAAAATCTTCGAAATTTTCAAGGAATCTTTCAAAAATATCATATATGTGGCTCTAAGAAATATTATAACTAATGGAACATATAATTTTAGGGAATTTTATTGTTATTTTAAAAGTACCATATTTAATCAATTTCCATTATCGATGTGGTAGACCTTTTCATTAATGATTTTGAATGAAAAAAAGACTAGAAGTCAACATTTTCAACCGTATAATCTTAATTATCCACAATCCATTGAGAAAATGTCTCGCTTCGGAACACAGATTGAGTGGTTTTCAAAGAATATGAGTGCATTTTTTGAGACCCTCCCCATCCCACACACTCTCCTATTGTTCACTCCTGTGATTCATGGCCTCTTTGAGTCTGAGTTTCAGTTTTATAGCACGCTTCGGATTTCTCATTACCACGCTGAAGGGTTGAAGAAATACGCTGCATGTGGTCTTGGAGTGAAATCCGTTCGTCCTGCTGCCGTCGGCGGCTTGGCTACTAATTTGTTTATATTGCGCCGCCTCCGGATTTGTTTATGCAACCTTTTTTATGACACACATCACATGCCGGGGTGCTACGAGATGTCAGCTACTTGACGGCAATCCTTTTAAATCCGTGCCGCCGATATTTGGCTTGTAATTAATATGGAAATTAGTCAGGGCGCTGCGGCCCAAGTGGCGTATGCGCAATCTTTGAACTGCAATTAGTCGTCGGCTGTCACCGGACGTCCTCGGGTCGGGTAAACAATTTTAGCGATATTCGCTATTTGTTTAAACATTTCTGGGAGGCCTGCATTCTTAAGCAGAGAGTGCATTTAATGGCGAAATTCAAAAGAAAATGCCAAAACCGTTGCCCGGACAGCTTAAAGTGTAAACAAAATGCCCGAAATGTTCACTTATTATAAAATGCACTGCATTCTTGTTTTGGCCCATTTCGATGCACTTTGCTTTAGCGTTTTTGGCGCTGTCTTTCCATGCTCCTCGACTATCCCAGCCCGATTCCTATCCCGATCCCGACCATATCCCCAGCCAAATCCAAGTCCCTCGATCTCTGCCCGATCGGATTCGACGTCGTCTGCTGCACACATGTGTGCCATAAAAGGAGGCTGAGGAGATTTTTGACTGCGACTGACACTTCGATTTGCAGGCACCGCTTGGCTATTGCTATTGTTGTTGTTGTTGGTGTTGCTGTTGTTGCACGTGTTGTTCTGCCGACGCATTTGTTTATGCAACAGCCCTGCTACTAACAGTTCTTGGTAGGAATAACTTCACAACAAATTCATCAACTAAACTCTAAACTCTAGAGCGGGATACTCTTTGCCTTGGGGAGTCCATAAAATATTGGGTTCTTTATGTACTCGACGATTTAAAAATATATTTTATAAGCTAAATTAAACATGTTATAATCTTTTGTAAAAAATTTTTTTATAAAGTAATACAAAACTAACTTCTCATTTTAAAGTACGTCTACAAATGTAACGATATTATTAATCAAACAATGCTTAAATTAAAAACAAACAATAGTTTTGTCTAGATTTTGTTTATGATATTTTTAAATTTGTATGAAATAATGATTTAAATTTGTTTGTCCTATAAAAATGTAGAGGGTGCCCAAAAAACTTAATTATAATTCCTATTTAATTTATAGTGGATAGGAGTTTTCTTTAAGTGCGAATAAATATATAAAATATATAAATTATTTTATTTCGCTAAAAATATTAAAAGGGGTATGCTTAAAAATAAATCCACTATTTTTATAGATGTAAACAGTTTTGTAGAGTATTTTAATGCCAACCTGCCCATTTCCAGCTTGATTTTGTTATTGAAGTTGTGCTCTTTGTTTTATGGGATGGACCAGGTCCTAAGAGGGGAACCCCAAAAGGGATTGGAGCCAGCGACGTTGCCTAATTGCTTTGCTGCCGGGCGGGCGATGGGGTTTGCCAGTGGAATGGGAATGGGATCCCTTCGGTTTAGCTAGGTAAATGAATCGTCTTCTCCCCGAACGATTAACCCACTCACACCCACGGAACCCGATTGCTCTGTAAACAAAACAAGGAAAGCAAAGTACAAATGATGCCCCGGCCCATTTATGTTTATTTTGTTTTGAAAATTGTGCGTTTAATTTATAGTTAATTGTTTTTCAGCTTTTCATTAGCCAACCAAACCGAGCGGTGACTGTGTGCGGTCCCCGAGAATTCCTGGGAATCCAGCCCACAGACCCGAACGGGCGGATGATATTATACTCGCACCAATTGTTGATGATGGTGCTATTTGCGCAAGTTGTTGTGCACGTCCGTCCGTCCGTCCCACAAAATGGCCACCCACCTCAATTTCGATTCGAAATTCAATTTCCAACTCAATCTCCCGTCCAACAGCTGTTGAAATAATCTTTGCGCAATGCCAAATCCAAATCCAAATCCGATCCATCCGGAAAAAAATCCATGCAACCACCCCGCTCTCGGTGGCCACTCCTTTGCTTATTTGGCTTCAAATAAAAAATCATTTAAATGATTTCGAGAACGGCAGCCATCGCCGGCCATAGCGGCATCAAATTGAATGATAAATGTTTTGGCTTTTGTGATTTTGTTTATTGTTCAAATTTCGGGTAAAAAATTTCAAATTTTTACCGCATGCATAAAACGGTTTTGGTGTTCCTCTTTTTACTTTTTTATCGCGTTTTATCGACAGCCATTCAAATCGGCAAATGCTGAGTTGAGTCCAACTAGCACTAGATGGATGGTTTGTTTTTTCGCGAGCTGTTTAGATGAAAATGTTGTGGTGTGGCGGACTGAGAGAGAGATTCGAGATTCGGGATACGCACATGTGTCCAAGTTCCATTGGGGCAACTTAATTAACGTTTTTAATGGACCTGCCGACTCGTAATGTCCGACAATTAAAGTCGCAATAGACATTTGGTTGGCCCGCCAGTCGATGCGGGCCAAGAACTGAGTGGGTGAGATGTGATGTTCTATGAAGATGGGATGGTATATGGTATATGGGGTATTGCCCAATCGACTGGGCCGCCTTATCAGCTGCCTGAGCGCTACTAATAGGCTACCAGGCGGAAAACACTTGAAGATCTATTGATAAACAGTCACTTGGTATGTGAACTGGCGGGATCTGTTTTTCTCCCTGCAGCATTTGGCACCGAAAAGTGTTTGGATGGTTCGCGATGGGAAAACAAACTGAATGGTGTCGTATATGGGGAAACACTTCAGTGAATCAGCTTCCTGGGTGGAAAACTTTTTCGGATCGGAATCTTTTCGCCGAGCACCTGCAACTTACTGGGTCGTTAATCTTTTGTTTTCCTTTATTTATTTCGAACAACATAAAAGCGCTTAAAGCCTGTTTAAGTGCCAATTGCTTAGTGTAAACAATTTTCCCATCACAAGAAGGTGTAGGTGCTTTAGGAATTTACAGTTGACTAGGTGCTCTTTAGGATAAATAAATCAAATCCGAAAACATTAAAACATTCGAGTTCTGGGACATAAACTAGAAAAACAAATTGTATCTGATTTTTCCAATTGTTATTTTTAGGACTGGGTTCCAAATTAACAATATCTACTATTTAAATTCACAAATCAAGTGATACCAACCTATTTAAAATATTAAAAACCTTAAGTACTAGCATAGGATTTAAAATACATGGTCTATTCATAATATTCGCCTGTAGAATTCAGTTGAAATTTTATTTGATTTCCTCCCAAGTCAACTAATTGGTTTTTTCGGCATTGAAATTACCGGGAATTTTCTGCAATGCATAAATCAACATTAAATTGCCGAAGAAGAGCAGTTTAACGCCTCGTTAGCTTTCGTCACTAAGCTGAGCAATTTCAAATGAATTCCACCTACCTTTTCTTAGTGGCATCTCTTTATCTCTCCTCCTCTTTTTTCTCTTTTATTTTTTCATAATCATTATACGGAGAATTTCGTTCGTCCTGCCACCCAGACGCCTATCGGCCACACCCACTCCAATGTCGGCAGCTATTAGCAGCAATTTTCAATTTCCTTTCTGATGAAGCACATGGCAAGAGAGCAAATTACATGGCGCACAAGATGAGACATTCACTTTTCTTTAGCTATTCTTTTCTCGCTTATTTTTCCTTTTTTCCCTTGAATTTCCCCCTCTTTTTGGACTCAGTCCTGGCGCACACGTACGCAATTGTCCTGAGCGCTCGACTTCGATTCGAAAAGAACATTTTCTTGCAATTTCTTTGCCTTGCTGGGTGGCTGAGTGGGTCGAGAACAGAACCCAGACGGGCGCAAATGAACGGCCATTATGTTTATCCGAAGTGAAAGCGAGGGCTGAAGTGAATTTTTAACGAGCTGGGGAGACCCGAGAAGTTGCCCAGTGCGTTGCAGTGAGTTAGAGAGTTATCCTGCCGGCAAAGGACATGCTTCAATAGAATAAGAAGAAAATTACACTTAAACGCTGCGGCGTGTCGACAGCTTTAGCTTCCCCGGGTGGTCAGCCTTTTACGTCCTTTTAGAGGGTATTAAAGTATAGATCTGAAGTTGGTAACTATGGGTAGAAGATATAAAAGATATAGAATATTAAATAATATATATAAATATTTAGAAAAAATAGCACTAAATGTGTTTTTAATAACTGAATCATTTTGAAGCGATCAATTTTTAAACTTGAATCGAAGCACTTAGCTTAAGGATAATATATTGTAACCTTTATTCTGCTTAGGTTTTATTTCGAATATGCTTATATTTTAAATAAAGTGTATGAGAACTTCTGCTTAAACAAATTCGGCCTTCTTTTTCGTTTTCCCATTTTTGGTTAGCCAACTTTGATTGGGCTGCATTCAAAGGTGACCATCTAAATTGCCGGTCAATTAACAATTTCTTCTAGAAACCCTCCTCGTTAACCTGCCTTCATCATTCGCACAGCCATCGCATAAGCACATTCCAGTGCCGGAGGATGATTTTAAGTTTATTTGCCTAAGCCGTTGACAGACAAACAGCTTCGGTTCACCCCTTTCCGCTCCCCATACTCAGGAGCAGCACTCATACGCCCTGTGCGCCATCTGCATTAACATATCATTAGTGCGTGCGTGTGTTTGCCTGTTTATCGACGCTTTTGTTTACAATAAAGCGTAATCATGTGTTACAAATACCAATAATAAAGCCCATGGGCCATGTAACCCTATAGCTATGGTATCCAGCCAAAGCATCCAGCATGGGGCGTCGCACCCACTTCAATGTCAGTTCGTGAATGCATAATGAGCCCTGTAGCTCCACGGATCGTGTCTCCGCACTCCGGCCTCAAGTGCACTTGCCGGAGACCCAGTCTCCAAGTCTCCCAGTCTTCGGAGTCGCGTAAACATCCCATTTCTGTGTCCAATGGCGCTCGAAATGGCGCTGCCATTGCAGGAAGCAACAGTCTTTGGGGTCATTTTGTTTATGCGATTTTCGATATTGGACAGACGTAAATGGTACATATCTGGTGTGCGTACTTAGGCTCCTAAAGTATGTAAATGCACAGGAAATTTATGTCTCCAGAACTCTTTAGTCAGAAAAATTCCCCACTTCGTGTTGTTCTTCATTTAACAGGTAAATCTTGATTATCTTTATTTTCAAAATATCTTTTATTAGTTTTCTCGGAGGGAATTTATTGGCTTTCGATAATATGGTAAGCCCAAACTTGGAGGTCATTTCATCAATTGGGCAATCCAAATCCCTAGCAACATTTTGATGATGTTGAAATCCCATTAAATCTTTGATGAGTAGCTATGCTTTTTATGGGAGACGCTTTGTTTTTCTACTCAAGACTTTTGCATTTTTGCTTAATTCGAAAAGAACACTTGGGTCGGCACTCAGGCGCCTTAAGTACAATATTGTAGGACCATACCAATTTGGATTCATTAAATACTTAAGTAGAAGCTCAAGTGCCAAAGCTTAAGTGTTCGGGCTATTATTGCAAAAATATGTATAAAAAGCAACAAAGTGCAGATCAAGTATATATAAAATACTCTGTGGAAATACACATGTGGCGATTATTTCATTTATTTTTTTCAATTTCTTTGATCAGGCGCTTTTTTTTATAATTTTTGTTTTATTTAATAATATAATTGTTTCTATAATTTATTTATTTATTGTTATTTTGGGGATGGTTACTTTCCAACTTTACTTGTTTGTAAAATGTAGCAAATTTGTGATATTTATTCTGATTTTGACTCTTTCTTATTGTCTTTAACACGTCGCAAAGATTTCACCTTTCGGTAGATGACATATAAACATAAAAGAGGTATTAGAGCAATTATCAGTATAATTGCTGAGACATCCAGTAGGTAAAACTGGAACCAGGGAAGATGTACTCCAGCAGCCACCATATGCGAAGCCCCCCGATGTTCTGCCACATAATCGATCCAGTAAACAGCCGTGTCCATGGCCCCAAGTGGACGATCGCGGAAGATTCGGGATGCTTTGTCCATATTGGCTTTATATTTGGGATTCGTCAGCAGCTCATTGAGAGCAGATCTCAGCAGATCTTCCGAAATGGTGCGATAATCCAATCCAATGGCGTAGCCAGCCACTTGGCCTTGTTTAATGTTCACATCCTGGTCGAAGTAAAATGGCATTCCCAGAACCGGAACAGCATGATAAACGGCCTCTTGCATTCCAAAGACTCCACCGTGGGCAATGAACACCATCACTTTCGGGTGGGCCAATATGTCGGCCTGGGGTAGCCACTTCTCGATCTTGACATTGTCGGGAATATTTGACAACTGGTCGTCTTCGAATTTCCAAAGGACGCGTTGTTTTAGGCTGGCGAAGACTTCAAGGAATATCTTCAGCTTTTCGGGTGGCATGTCAGCACTGCGCACTTGAGATCCTAAAAATAATAAAGGTTTACTTAGTTTCAATGTAAAATTTAGTTTGTAACGTTGTCATTTTAGATGGGGTTATATAACGACTTAAGTTATAATATTCTGGTTCGCACTCACCCAAACTAAAGTAGATGGCACCAAACTCGGCGCCGTCGAGGAAGCTTTTTATATGTTCTGGCAGAGGTTTGGGTGGCTGGATATGTAGTCCGCCCACTGAAACCATGTTCATGGTCATCGGTCTTGGCGATGTCAGCGGCATGTAGCTGTTCAGAAGTATTAACGATATATTTCGTTCCAATTGCTTAACAGTCGGCACTTGTGGCAGCAACTTTCCGAAATGCTTCCTGATAATAGCATCCTGAGCCGGGTAGTACGATACCTCCCGCATCACATCCTCAACAGTGGTAATCACCACATTCTCCAATCGCTTCCGCAATGTCATTTGATCGGTGCAGGACAAATAAACATTCGGAACATACGATAAAGGATTTATGAAGCCAAAGATTTGGCTAAAGTAGTTGGCATAGGCAAAGGTCGCGACTGTAATGATGGGTATTTGGTAGAGATGGCCGAGCATCAGAGCTCCCTCATTGTAGAACTGTTCCGCTAGTAGGAGATCGAATTTTCCCCTCTTATCCTCAGCGTGAATTAAATCCTGAACCGCCGAATGCGCCAGTGCCAAGTCCGTTGATTTGATTCCAATGTGTTGGCCCAGTCGCATGTGTGTTAGCTTTGAAAAGTCAATCATATCCACCGCCGAATTGGTCTTCATCAACGCAGATACTATGGATAAATCTCTTACAAATCATATAATTTTTAAACAATTAACTAACTCACTATCTGCCCAGGTGTTATAGTGGGGCAACAGAATTTCCTTATAGTTGGGCCCCAAGTTTTCCTTGGCCAGCGATAAGGGTGTAATATAAGTGACCTCATGTCCACGTTTCACCAGTTCCCTTATAATCGCATTGGACATCATTAAATGGCTTTTCACCGGCAGGAAGAAAGGTGCCAGAATCCGTGCTCCATCTCCAATTCCCAAAAGGCACAAGAGAATCAACTTGATTATGAGTATCTGCGGATTTATAGAAGACCACAAGGTTCTAATAAGTATCGTATTAATAACTAAAATTCTGTTTCAGAAAACAAACCATTTTATTTTATATCTTTAGCATTCGCTAGACACAGGTATACTGAGCTGGAGACAATCTTACCAAAGGTTTTTATATCTTCCTTCGTTCCTTCTTTTTTGGCTAAGACAGATAAACATATCTTGGAAGATTTCTTCAGTTCAACGGCACAGCGTGTTACCGATAAAATAGATTATTCGGTTATTCGTTATCCATACCTTTTAGACCAGTAATCTTCAATGATAAGAGTTCATTCAAGATATTTTATCTGGGGGTGCAGAAAATATTTTGCGATAGGCGGTAGCAGAATTAACTAGATAAATCCAAATGTATTTACATTTTTCAGTGATTACATGCTGACTTTGACTGCTGATAAAATAATTTGTATTTAAATTTTAAAAATAATTTTTTTCTACTAAAAATAATGTTCTAAAACAAATAAGGTATAGGTTTCCTCTCATATTAAGTGATCTTTCAAAATGATCATACAATTTGGATTTCCCTTTCATTTCAAAACTTTCCCATCCGTTTTTATGTTGTACTTCCCAAAGCGATCAAGTGAAACGATGGGAAATAGTGAATAAATCACAGACATTTTACTAAATTAAATATTTGCTTCCCGGTTGCCACCCACCCGTGCAGTGGGGTAAATGATGGTCCTAAACGGATCATTGCTGTTGTTTTGCTTCCCATGTAAACTTTCCGATTCATCAGTCTTTCAGTCCTCCGGATATATATTCGCCCATTTATACACACTGATATAAATGGTTAAATGGCCATAAAACTCAACGCGCCAATTTGTAGGCAATTAAATTTTATGTTTGAACTGGAATTTCGGGAGATTCTGTGACGTCCGCCTGGATTTTCATACGGACTGGGGTTTTATTCTGATCTGCACCGCATCGATCATTCAATTTGGCAGCCATTCGAGGCGGACTTATTATTATTGTTTACTTTGTCATATTTTGCCAATGTGTTTTTATTGTTCTGCGGGCCGCATTCGCATTCGCATTCGTACTCGTATTTAGATTGCCTCTATTTGTTGCTGCACGCCAGCAGCAGTGATACTTTGTTTATTGTCTCGGCCAGGCCAAATAAATGCAACGACTTTTCTGCGGTGAATTTGGCATTTGCCGATGGGCATTTGGCGGGTGCTTGCTGCGATTTGGCCATAAACCTTGATCGGTCATGTGTTTGCGTTGCCGGAGGACGGGGGCTCAAGTGGATGAAGTTATTGCAAATTCTCTAATCTCTGGCTAATGCCCCATTGTTGGCAATCACTGCAATGATCTCAACGGCCAAATGCGGCCATAAATTCCGACTCGGATGGCCAAGTGTTCCATCAAAATCAAAGCTTTTAAGCCGCTGCCTGAAGTGTTTCGCCTGCCCGCTTGTTCTAATTTGCCTTTGCAGCGAATGCGCAATTAGCCGCTATTACATTAATAATACGCGTACTTGTCTTCGGCTGACCCAATGGTAATTGAAAAATCAGCTATTTCGAATCGAAATCGGAAATCGAAACAGAAATGGAATTGAAAATGTGCGCTTTTGGCCAAAGTGAATCGTCTGTACTTAAGAGCCTAAAAGTGCGCATCTTGCCTCACTGCATCTGTATCTGAATCGGAATCGAAATCTGTGTGCGATTTTGATTCTATCTTTATAATTGCACTGGGAAAAACATATTTTCTTGGTGCTTGGAACTTATATTGCCTGGTCTTTTTAAGTTTTGTACGATTTGCTTAGAATTTAACTCCAATAATTTTATAATTTTGATCAATGCACTTAATTATTTTTAAAAGGCTACTGTGACTTGTACTTTTAAATCTCAGAAATAAGACAGTTCTTGCTCACAATCAATTTGAGTGTTTAAATAATAGGCAAAAAAAAAAGTTTTTTATAGCCGTTTTGGCCAAAAATTGTCCTAAATAAAAAATGCATACTGTTTTGAGCAGCTAACAAGGCAATTAATTGTTCCCTATCACTTTTTGAGCTGATATAGGAAAATTAGTTTTTTGCAAATTTTTACATTTTTGATACATCATAATACATTGATGCATCATGATTTTTTGCAAAAAATTTCAAAAATTGAAAATGTTCAGGTTTTAATGCAAATCGATTAAGATTTTTAGCACGAGTTCAACGATGTACGACATTCCATATTTGGATCATTATTTCCGTTGTTTTGGCCAAAATACTGCTATTTTTGGTGGAAAATCCGGATATGCGTTTTTAATAAAAAACAAGAGAGAACGCTATAGTCGGGTTGTTGTCCCGACTATCTAATACCCGTCACTCAGCTAAAGGGAGTGCGAACGCTGTGTCGGGTTGGTATCCCGACTAATAATCGTAACTCAGCTAAAGGGAGTGCGAGGGAGATAGATATATAATTTTTGATTGCGTATAACTTTTTTAATGAATGGTCCGATTTGAAAAATGTCTTCTACATTTCGATAGGTATAAATATACACAACAAAATTGCATTTATACTTCTCGGAAATCTTTAAAGATGTGGACGCAGGACCCATTTTAAAATCGTTAGTGGGCGATTGTGGGCGTTAGAGGGGCGTGGCGCTCGGCTAAAATAAACTTGCGCTGCGTAGGAAGCCAAAGAATATGTGTGGGAAATCTCAACCTTCTAGCTTTTGTAGTTTCTGAGATCTCAGCGTTCATACAGACAGACAGACGGACAGACAGACGGACAGACGGACAGACGGACATGGCTAGATCGACTCGGCTAGTGACCCTGATCAAGAATATATATACTTTATGGGGTCGGAAACGCTTCCTTCTAGCTGTTACATACTTTTGCACGAATCTAGTATACCCTTTTACTCTACGAGTAACGGGTATAAATATGATTTTTTATTAAAGTCGTGGTAAGGGTTTATATAAGAAAATCATAAATTATTATTATTTTCGGTCCATTTATAAAGATCTTTAAAGAATATTGATATCCTAGATTTTAATGGATGAGTGTTCTGATAAAATTTGATATTAAATTTATAAAAATGATTAACAGACGTTGTGAGGGAAACATAGTTCTTAAATGATATTTTTCCTCAGTGAGAGCCGACCTTCTGCTTTGCGGCGACGCTAATATGCAATTGGAAACCGTCGGGGCCGCCAGTCAGTTTCCCCTACGTGGTGATGGCGATGGTGATGCACCGGCTCATGTAATCATGCGTGTGGCACTGTTTACAAATCACGCCTTGTCGCCGCTCCCGACCAGCATCACAGACAGGACACACTCGAGGATGTCGGCAGGAGGGTGAAATATGTGTGAACGCTGGCGGGTTCCCGTCCCCTGGCTACTCAAGTGGCCAGTGGTTAGGAGCCTCGGTCCCAGCCAAGGTGGCTAATTGGGATCTCCACTCGAAACCCGTCTAGACAGCTGTTCTGCGGTGGTCCTGGGCCAAGTGGCTTGTTTTGATTGTCGCCCCGGGACATTTGGGACACATTAGTTGACCACTGTTTGGAAATAAACGTCGAAAAGGCAGCGCCAAGGCGGAAAAACTGGAGGGAACGGACCACACAACAGACGCAAATAACCCAAAACCGTACTCCAAATAAGCAAAGCGCTGTGCAACAACAAACAATAATACAACACAGAAAAGAAAATTCGATAAAAAATTCAAAAACGTAATTCAAAATTTTGTATTCTGAAGTAAATCTCTTAGAAACTAGATCACCATTATTAACCTTTCTATATAGCATTTTATGTTTAAATTGCAAACAAGGTTGTCAAATATATTATTGAAATAAATATTTACATAAACACTTAATTTGTGACCCTTTGAAAATACTTATATAATTTTTTCCACACGCTATATTGATTGATTTATAATTTCATCCCCCTTTTTCCTGTGTATTCCACTATTCCACTAGTACATTAAATGAATTCCCCCAGCATTTAATGTACTAGTGGAACTCATCATCTCAGCTCGGCTCCATTCATTCATTCTCATCCCTATCACTGTCCCTATCCATCCATATGCTCCATCTATCCATTTATCCATCCATCAGGGCCATCAGGTGTGTGGTGGCGTTGGCTTTCTGGATGTGGATGTGGATGTGGATATGGATGTTCCACGGCCGCCGCCGTTAGAAGCGCAATTTGTTTATGCTACTTTGTGAGCAATAAAAGCACAGACGGCCATGTGGGTGGTCCCACCTTGGGTCTTCGGGTTGTTCGACTTTATGCAGTCGCTGGATATGATGTATGGTACTGGTACTGGGTGGAGGTGGAGGTGGGGTTGCCGTGCGCTAATCATCAGCCGCTCTTCGGAGTTGTTCGTGTGGAATTAATCAGAGCATTGTGTGCGGATGCAGCAGGATGCGGTGGGTGGCTGTGATCCCTGTGAGAATAAAATTGAGTCATAATTGAATTGATTTCCAGCGAAAGCGGCCACTTGCAAGTGTCGGAATCGAGGGCCGTGGGGTCGGGGTCCCAGCTATCAGCTGTGGCTTTGTAACTGAAGTGGCCGCCAAATTATTTGACATAATTGCGCCTTAATGAAGCGCTATCTCCGCCTGGGAAAGGGTGAAGCTGAAGCCACTCCAGTCGGGTGCTCAAGTACCCATTGGAGTTCAATTCCAATGGAGATGTGATGGCTGTTTCGGTAGTTTGTTGACCTCGTGGGAGATATGACCCCAAACTCGCCACATTTTGAACTGCAGTTCCACCAATCTTAATTTTGTGTTTGTTAATAAAATTAGAAAGATACCACAAGAATCTTAGTTTGTATTTATAAAGCAGGCGGTTAAAAAAGTAATTTTAAATCACTAATTTCAAAAACATTAAAATCTAGCCAAAGTAGGCGTTAAATGATTAAATGTCAGTTTAAAATCAGTTTATAGCTCATTACGGTGCATCTAGTCAAGTCGAGACGTCCGATTAATTGGGAATATTTTTTTACTCTATAAAATAAAGTTCTTAAAAAGTTTTATCAGATTAAGATCATTGAAAGTTCGTCGAGTTATATATGAAACGCAGTTAATACTCATCGATTACATTGTGCAGAAAATCAAAAGAAAAAGAACGAGGTGCATATCGGTATAATATTTACTAATTATTTTAACAATATTATTTTTAATAATCGGAGCTAATAATTTACAAAGCAGGCGGTGAAAGTTTAAATGCCAGTTTGAATTCTGTTTATTGCTCAGTACGGTTTCTTCATTCGAGTCGGGACGTAATAATTATAATTATAAAAAACTGAAACTAAATATTTTCGCTTATTCTTGGACGGTGCTATAATCACATAACTAAAACCAGAAACATTTTTGTAATTCTCGTTAATTTGTCAATAATCAAGGTAGCACTTTCGGGCAAATAGTGTGTTCTTCGATTTTTAGACGGATTAAAAATGTTCCAAGGTCGTCGCAAGCGTGAAAATTTGAGTGAAGATGACGGTGAGTTCGACAACCGCCGGAAGAGAACCGCCGAGGTCCAGGTGGTGACCGTGGAGAGGTTAATGCGGGGCCTGAGCTACCAGGGCGGCACTTCGATCGAGCTGAAGCTGGATAACCTCGCTTATTTGCTAAGCAAGGACATCAGGGCCGAGCTCAAGGAGCACATACTGCACCTGCTTATAACCTGCGTGGGCGATCACCCCGGTCAGTCGAGTGCCTATGCCACTTTTGTGGGCCTGTTGAACATCGGCAGCTTCGAGTTCGCCTCCGAATGCCTATCCTTCATGTTGCAGAAGCTGCACGATTCCTTCCGCACTCGCGAGTGGTTAAAGATCCTGGGAGTAGTCCACTTCTTTGTGGATCTGTACAACTGCCATGTGATCAGCTCGTCGACGGTGCTGAAATTCCTAGCGGATTTCGTGAAGGAGTGCGCGAACGTGAGAGATCCGGACGAAGTGGAGGACTGCGAGCCGCAGACCCGTCTCGATTGGCTGGCCTACTGTGTGCTCTCCGCCGTTCCCCTGATTGGTCGCGCTCTGGAGGGGAAGGCGGTATTCGAGGGTCTGATGCTCACGCTGCAGATTTACGTCAAGAAGCGATGCACCCTGCCCGCCGCCGTCTTGGGTATTTGGCGGGACTCCAAGCAGAGGGACTACCTGGAGCTGCTGTGGCACCAGGTGGACGATCTGAGGCAGGAACGGTGGGCCGAGCCGCAGCACCAGTTGATTCCGCGGCCCTATCTGGCCTTCGACGAGAGCCTGAGTGGCGGACAGCCGCACAGCTTGCCCGATTTCCAAATAACAGTCCATGAGCAGGGATGCCGATATCCCCCGCCCCGCGCCTCCTTCTGCCTTTTTTCCCACGACTTTAACGGCGAGGACCAGCAGTTGCTGCCCCTGCTGAGCATCGAGCGGCACTTGCTGGAGGTCCAGATCCAGGATATACTGGGCTCGAATCACAAGGAGCGGAGGCTCTGTGCCGACAGCCTTCTGGCCTATGCCGCCTCGAAGCCCCAGTTGCCGGTTCATCACTGCATCGTGGAGGTGATTCTGGGCGAGATGCTGCAGCTGCCCACCTCCCAGTGGATCACCATTAACTACTCCTCCCTGCTGGTGGAGCTGTGCAAGCGCCTGCCCACCAAGCTGCCCCGGCTGGTGGATTGGGCCGCAGACGTACTCTTCGATCGACTGGACGCCATGAGTGTGGCCTGCTTCGATCGTTTGGTCAACTGGCTGTCGCACCATTTGAGCAACTTTGCCTTCATCTTCCACTGGGACAAATGGGGACAGAGTCTCCCGTCACCAGTCGATGCGAGTGCCAGCAATCTCCAGCCGAAGGTGGTTTTCCTCAGGGAGTTGCTCAAAAAGTGCCTCAGGTGAGTTGAAATAAGCATTGTGAATATGAGAATAAATAGTTAACGTTAGCTAAGACTATTTATTATTAATTTATTATTATAACAATTCTTTTTTGTGTTTTTTTTTAACTCAGATTATCCTACTATCAAAGACTGGTTGATATTGTGCCGGAGGTTTTGGTCGGTTTGCTCCCGAGAGCTCCGCTTCCGCACTTCAAGTTCGTCGACCAAACGCTCCCGGGTGCAATGTTGTCCAAAAGTCTCCTTGAGGCGATGCGCAACAAGCAGTGCTCCCCGGAAATGATCTCCACCCTAATAGGCGGCACTACTGGAATCGGACCGCTGCTCAAGATCAACGTGTTCACCCAGAATTGCCTTCACCTTGGGTCCAAGTCGTTCAGCCACACTTTCGCAATACTCGGCAAATACCAAACGGTTTTTAAGGTGAGTTAAATAATTTATTTTCATTTTATTAAAATGAACAAGGAATTTAATTTTAAATTTAATTCTCTTTAATTTTAATTAATTTTTTTTATGTATTCTGGAAAATTAACCTTTTCTAACTCGAGCAAAGATTAGAGCTATCAAAGCACTACTAAAATTTTAAGTGATTTAGGAGCTCCGTGAATTTATTCAATTTTATGAAAGACTTTTAATTCTCTCCTTACGCCACCTTTTTCATTTTAGGAGATGACTGCTGGTGACATAGAGAAGCAGCATGCGGTCTTGAGCGGAATCTTCGAAGTGTGGGTTGACAACGAGCATTTCTTTTTTGTGGTGGCCGAAAAGCTGCATCGCATGGAGGTGCTCGAGTGCCGAAGTATAGTGTCCTGGATTTTCGGTCCTCAAGTGCGCAAGGAGCTCACCAAGATGTACCTTTGGGAGCTGCTCCACTCCACTGTGCGCCACGTGAAGCGTGTCCATCAGCAGAATGAAGTTGTGGATGTGGATATGGATGGGGACTGTCAAAGTGGATCGGATTCTGCGATGAGGGGTATTTTACTGGACATCGTATATCGCTTCGTGAAATCTCTTTCCGCTGCTCCGGAGGACCAGGAGGGATCCGAGGAGCACTACTGGTTCCAATGGGTTCTCGGCCGGCTGCAGGAGACGCTTTTCATCTATGCGGATGACTACAGGAAAGTGTCCTGCAAGCTACTGAAAATGTCTGGGGAGGCTGACCTAAGGGAGGAAATTAGTAAGGCGATACAGAGATTTTTGGCATACGCTATGTAATTATTGTATCATATTCATTATCATCATACCCTCACTTTTGTACTTGCTTTAATATAAACTAATAATAAACCAATTACACAGAGAAAAATACACAATTTATGTTTTGTATTATAAGATATTCTCTGAAAATTTTAAATATGTCTTTTACATTTTATTGCATTTCGTTGTAAATATAGTACACTTCTTTTTTCAAGCCGCGCGCCAAATGGTTGCCAGGCGCCATCTGTTTGTGAACTGTATATTTAGTTTTATGTATCGAAAATAATAAGCACGGTAGACTTATCGATAGTGTGAGGAAGAGAGTCATTCGATATATTTTTGGTTCGCCATCTAGCGGTGGGGTTTCGTCTGCGTTATTTATTTCACAACCTTTGGACGTTTGGTTCGCGTACTCGCTATATAAAAGAGGAAGAATGGCGCCTATATTCAAAAATTTGAAATTGGATTTAACTTTATGACGGAGGAAAAAAAGAGATGGAAAACTAATGAAAACAAGTATACTAAAAACAATATATCCGTTAATAAATTTTTTGTATTCCTAGTGGTTTGACTAACATAATAATACTCTTTTAATTTAATCTAAAGTACGGGGTTTGATGTTTTTTATAAGCACGCGAACAATGGCTGATAAGGTAGATTATGATCCCAAATCAGTTTTGAATATTATTGTAAAGATTCACATCATGAGCGTGTAAAATATCAATTACTCCACCTTATGTAACGTTATAGCATGCCTTATAAAAGCGACAGGAGATGAAGTACGAGTAGCATTCTCGAAAATAGTGAAACATGGTTCGCGAAGTGGCTTGGCAATGGCAGATTCTTATCTTGCTGCAAATAACAAGCCTATCGTTCCAATTAAACCACGAATTTGTGCCTGTGAACGAGGAAATGTTCAGTGACTGCACGGACAATCCAGGATTTGAAAGTGTCGATAAATTAGCGGATCTTTCCGCCTTTGGCCGAAAAAGGGCTCCAAATGGTGGAATTAATATAGGTGGAAACATAACCATGAAATGGAATGTCCAACCATCAGATCGTATAGGGGTGAGTGCTTATATACCTTAATAAAGCAGCAATTTCTATTATAATCAATCACATTTCAGGTTGAAGTTGGTATATATAAGTTGGAGAAAGGAGTTTGGAAACCAACCGTTTTAAAGGGGGGTGATAGAGATTTTTGCAAGTCCTTTTACGACAAAAACACTCTTTACTATCCTTATTCCACCGAGCACGTAATCAATAAAGAGGATGTTAAGGACAAATGCATAAACATTCCTGGGGTAAGAATTATTTCAAATTAAAATGTGAATTTATTAATTACCTTTTCACCTATTTAGACAGTTTTAGTTGTGGAACCATTTCTTGAGAGAATATTAATAAGTTACGCTGCGCCTTTAACTCCGGGACGTCACAAGGCCTTAATAACTTTTACTGCCTTTGACAAAGCTAATGCCAAACGTCCTGATGCCATATGCTTGGAAATCATTGGCGATGTAGTTAAAGCCTAATCTTTAACTTAAATTACGCTATATGTGGTGGGTGCTAAAAGCACTATTCCCACTTGTTGGTCCTTTTTATTGTTTTTATAGTCAAAGTAGCAGACTTTTAAAATATTTTATTCACCACGGGTATATTGGTTGCACATAAAATAAAGTGAATATGGATTTATGCAAAATTTATTTTTGGGATTGCAAAAGGTTTTTGGTCTAGAAAGGTTTAAAAACTTGTTTGATTATTAGAAGGGCTGTCGGCATAGACTTTATATTTATTATTGATACTGTAGACATAAAGTATAGTGTTCCGGTAATGTAATTTCCATGATTTAGCTAACACCAGTTTCCTGAAATCTAAATATGTTCTGTAATCCCACCCACAATAAAGTCCTAATAAAACACCACAAATGAATCTGACTTCGATTTCATCTTGAGACTTTACAAACTTTACTGGGGGTATACTGTTAGAAATAATTGAATTAAGCTTGGCAGAAGCTAAAATTGTTTACATCTTATAGTATCGCACACTTTTAAGTATATTATTTTGTAGGTTGATGCACAGTGCCATTCATATATAGTTTTAAGTTTATTACGAAATTTAATACTTGTAAAGTTAAATTAAATTAAACTTCTTGCACTGGGCGGTTGTTATATATTTTTTTGCAAATTATACACATATAATAGCTTTGTTTTAGTTTTTTACAAATTATTCTAATCACTGTTTTGCCTTTGGAGAGGAGGCAAATAGGTTGGCGGTGGTTGCGTATATAGCAACTTGCCATCCGAATACCGCATCAGGGTCATTAGCTTCAGCATCCGCAGCTCCTCCTTATCCTTGTCCTTGTCCTTCTCCCGATCCTTATCCTTATCCGCTCCGAAGCTCTGCATGTGGGGGTGGTGATGCTGAGGCTGATGATGATGATGGTGGTGCGAGCGATTGGGTTCTGCTGACTGGTCGGGTCTTTAAAATACTCAAGTCATTAACGTTCTTTAAAAAGCTTTGGTTCGCTGACAATTTCTCGCATTGCACGTCCTTCTTCAGCTCCTCCATGTCCCGCTTGAGTTTGGCCCTTCGATTTTGGAACCATGTGATGACCTGTTTTAGAAGAAAGTCTATTAATTTCCATTCACAGCTGCACAGAGAGGAGAATACGTTGGAAATCAGGATTACAAATATTTTTTTATTTAGTTGAATTAAATTTGAAATGGGATTTTTCTATATTGTTCAGAAAGAACCAAGACCAAAAATTATCTTTATTATATCTTTGAAAATTAACGTGATAGAAAGCTGAACAACGGAACTTTAAGAACTTTATTCCCTTATATGTATGTTTTGTTTGTAAGAAAATGGACTGAAACTTGGATTTGCATGGTTTGTATGGTATTATTCCTGACTTTAAATCGTATCTTCCTCTTTTGCTAGCACCCACAGACATTGCAATACTCACCTGTGCATTGGAGAGGCCCAAGCCGCCGGCGATTTCATCGCGATCCGCTGGCGATAGATATTTTTGGTACAGGAAGCGCTTCTCCAGCTCGAAGATCTGCTGATTGGAGAAGGCGGTGCGGGACTTGCGCTTCTTCTTTGGATTCGATCGCGTGGCAAATATGTTCAACGTGGCGGGATCTGCAAGGCAACAAGATCAACGTTAAAGTCAATGTCACTGGTGGAATCGATTCGGAGAGGTGTGAGATGCTATCGTAAATTATTCAGCGATCAGTCAACTTTTTATATGCTTCACACGGCTGATCGTAAAGCGGAAAAGTTTATGGGGCTTTTGGCTTTCTTGCTTCTTGGCCAAGTGCGAGTACCGGGGTCTGACCTTTCTCCGCAGATAATTTTGAGGATGCTTTAATGATCGCATTTATGGCCGATCTCTACGCATTCACTGGCACTTTCAATTCAATCAGTGAAATGCTCGTGGCTAAAACAATTTCAAACACACAATTCAATGGAATTCATAATAGACAATCGACATCAACAAATCGGTGGTCGTAAAATCGGGCTGGGGATTCTCTAACTTCTTCGTTTTATACCCTCGCGTTTTATTGGCCACGCCGCCGAATGAATGATTTTCCCTGTGTTGTTTTCGTAAGCGATTCGATGGGGATTTGATTTGATTTGGATTTTGATGGCCGGTATTTGTTTTTGGCATGTTTAAAGGTAATACGGCGGCTGATTGATGTTTTTACTGGGCTTTTTTCCGAAAGTGTTTCGCGGCGGAAACGGCTTTCAACCCAGTTGAACTCAACCCCATTAGGTTATGTTTATTTATCGCGGGCCATTCAATTTTTGCGCCTCTCGGCTGAGTGTTTATTAATGACCGATATACTCGTATGCCTGCGGAATGATCGCGGTGAATAAGAATGAGTGCTCCAGCCAAAGTATCAACGGAAATGGCTGTTGCTTCGTTTGTTTATGGGGTTGAATTTTGGGAGATACTATACTTATAGGGAGGGAGCAGGAGGTCTCAGGAAGTCTCACAAATGGCAGCTGCGCATTGGAAAGCCGGTCGGGGCAATTTTGTTGTTGCTAAACATGTCCGACAAATAACAATTAATGCAACCGAATTGGGTCCTTGAACAGCGCAAGGATGACGGGGTTGATTTGGTCCCTCTTCTTTTTTTCTACGGCCTTGTGGCCAAAGTCGAAACCCGGGTCCAAAGCCATTTTGACACTATCCTGATGTGTTTATTGTGAGTTTAGATAATCTACTGTTTTGTAAACGCCTCTTGCCACCAAAACTCGAGGGTTGAAAGGAATTTTGGCCGCAGGAAGCACACATTTAGGTGTTTTCCATTTACACGAGAAGGAACATGAAGAGTTAATTAAAGGTAAACGGCAGGAATGCCCCTTGGGAAGCTAAAATGTGCGTGAGTAGTGTCATCAAAAGGGTTATTGCTTACATAATGGGTAACTTTCTAACGTAAATGGCAACAGTATATGTCTTAAGATTGATTTTCATGAAATGTATAATACTGGGTTTGTTAAAGAAGAACATATCCCGATAAATAAATAAAAGTAATGATATACATATATTTTTCTCATTTTTTCAAGATAACCTTTTACCGTTATATGTGAAAACGGTATTCGATTCATTAGCTAGTACAATTTCCTTCATTAGCCAGTTTAATTTGGCCCCCACTTACCATCAATACCACGTCCTAGCCACGCCTCTAATTAAAAGCCATGGCAAGCCTTCACCTGGCCAAAAACTGGTCGGCGCTCGCGATGGTGGGTGTGTTTTTGGCCATTTGTTGAGCTTTATTAATCAAGAAAACTTTACTTGGGGGGCTGGACCAAGTCGGAGCCTGGTTAATGGCTTAGCCCACATGGAGAGCGTATGTCAGTTGCGGCACTAACAACCCACCAGACGGAGTTAAAGTCAAAGTAGAAGTTAAAGTGCACGGGTATTTGCGGAAAGAATTACGATCTGGGCACCCACACCTCCACTTCCAGATCCACATCCATCGGAACCTCGTGACGTGGCCAACAAACAATGTCATCAGCATAACTAATCATTGTGACACCGAACCACCGGGTGACATCCAGCACAATGGGTCCAAGGAGCTGCTCCCGTTGTCTGGAAAGTAAGCATAACTTATGCCTCCTGGCAGCGTTGCTAATTGAGACACAAACAAAATGACGCATTGTCCTTACGCAAGTGGGTTGGGTCTGCTTCTAATACGGGGAAGTGTACACTTTCCAAATATCAGTTTGAATTAAATATTTAAAAGGTTGATCAGGATTGTTTTAATCTGATTATTAAATTTTTAAGGCAGTTACTTGGACTATTTATTTAATTTTTAAAGATTTTTAATGAGCTTAAATAATATTATTATAGAAATATACACTTATGTGAGTTTTTTCATGATCTATGTATTTTTAAACACCATTTAATATCTGGGCACTAAAAATACTAGATTGATCGGACTTTGTTTAATTTAATTTTAACATTATATAGCTTATATTACAAATGTAAAGGTTTAAAACTTTAAATAAAGGTTATATATGAAATATCAAATTATAATTTTAATTTGAGCAAATCGAATTTTCGTTTAATATACCTAGTTCTGTAATTTTTAAAGGAAATGCTTTACAAATTTTGCTATGGAGGGTGAACCCTTTAAGCTAGTTAATAAGAAGTAATGCTACTTTTAAATCCGCTGATTAATTTATAAATCCCTAGTTCTAGTCGCTTATCTACCGCAGATTGTGTCGTTTGGACAATGGTGACACCTTGTTTACCACCCATATTTCTCCGAGTGCACCGCCACTGCTCGATTCGAGATGGCGTGCCTTATCAACGGCCAATCTGAGGCCCAGACTGGTGCGCATGGCTAATGGTGTGGCTGGTAATTAGGCAAATTAGCTGGACTCTGCTACTGGGAGGCACATAAATTAACAGCAATTAATTAAATGCTCGCTGGTTAATGCCGGATCACGACCGGCTCTTCCGCTCAGCGGCCATTGAAATCGAAATTCTATTGGAGCATTTTCCAAGCTGTTCAGGCTGAAACCGGAGTAAGGCTCAAAGTGCCGGAGCAATTATGTTGATTAAGTCCGGAGGGCGAGGAACGATTCAATTAAAGCCAGCTCCAAATCAATCAGCCGAGATCAGCCAGCGGCCGAATATGTGGCAGTAATGGTAATCTCCACTCCGATGGGTATGCACCCATAAAGGCGAACATCATAATAAAAGGCCGTCGAGATCACAATCTTGAGATACTTTGGCTTGGCACTCTCGATCGGTGCTACCAAGATGCGTATCGCATTGGATCGCTGGGATAAGGCTAATGCTAATGCCAATGCCCAGGGAATACTTGAATAGTTTGCCACAAGGTGCCTGCTGTTCACACGCTCTTCAAATGCCTCGGATCGCAGCGGACCCTTTGAAAGACCAGGTAGCCAGGCTCGGATTTCGTTCGCCTGCAGAACCAGGCCAAAAGCATGACATGTGGAATGTGAGTCGGGCTGCCAGCGGAAGACTCAATTAGAAGCTTTGACTTTTCGGGGGATTTACGACCGCAAGGAATTTCACATTCTCAGGGGTCTCGTTCTGGCCTGGCTAAATACCTGCCAATAGCTTTATAAGATTGCCGCCACCACAGAGTTATGACAAAGGCAAACCAAAACCGAAGCCGGCAAAGGACAAAGGCGACCTTCGAATGCAAAAGAGCTGGGCTAAAAGCGCTAATTATGGCCAGCAGAGGAGCTGCAGCGGCAGACCGCAAATTGCGTTGTCCAGAAGCTCGAAAGCGTAATCAAAAACTAATTTTAATCCTGTTTGGGGCTCACTCCCGCATTGCTTCACCTTTTACCCAAAACGCCGAAACAAATATGAAACGAAAACGAAAACGAGCCCCTGCCCCTTTGGGATCTGATCCGATCGGATCGGATCAGAGATCTTTTTAGCGGTAGGTCCCGGTTAATTTATTCTAAATGGCTTTTTGAAATCCCCGAAACAACACGAGAGACTTACTTATGACGTTGCCGGCGTCTCTTCTTCTCGTTCTCAATCTGGCTCTCCAAAAAGGAAAATAAGCATACAGAACCAACTATGGGATCTGGAATCTGAGATCTGAGATCTGAGATGTGGAATCTGGAATCCCAACGATGATTCAGACCGGATCAAAGTCGATGGCGGGCCCTGCATATTTTTCTCACTTTGGCGTGTCTGCGTGTTGTTAGCAATGAAATTGATGAGTTCGAGCAGGTTATAAAACCCGATACCTTTTGGCTACCTTTGTTTGCTGGCTCTTTTATTATTATTATTGCTGTTGCTGGACCTACGAAAAGCCGAAACACAATAACACAAATTAATATAAGAAGATGAGACAAATTTAGCCGCCGACAAAGTGAGCTGGCCACGGAGATTCCCATTATCATTACGGATCGAAGTGGAGCGCGGGGCGCAGCTCTCCATAACGAGAAAGTTATAAATTTTGGTATTTTCTTTTCGATATATCCAAGCTGGCGACTCGTCGACTGGTGGGGTCTTTCCTCCGAACTGAGAACTAAGAGACTGTCATTGTTGGCTGCTTGTTTACACGCTCGTAATGCGTCCAATAACTTTTTGTATTTTGTTGTCATTTGTACCGCCCCGGAGATCTGGGAACTGACTGGGTTTTCAGGTAGGCGAAGTTATTTTAAGCCCAAAATGGACGTTATTAGGGAGGTGCTGATGGGACTTGGGTCGGAAAGGCATTTTATAAATCAGGCAGAAAACGGACGATCCTTTTAAGCGTAGGCTTTCAGGGAATTTAAAAAATATTTTTGATTGTTAGTCAAAATTTTAATTATTTTTCAAATAAATATTTATAGCATTTATTTTGTTATTACTATTTCTTGTTTGATATCCTTAGCTTAGCTCATAATATTGATGATAAGAAATTGTTACATTTATGGAGGGCGCTCAATCTAAAGTCAATAACCTCTAGGCTATTGAAATTACCGATTACCTTTCGGCACAAAGGACTTTCTCTGGGTTATTTCTCCCCCTTCTCTTTAATTGAAATTTTCGTACATTAAGCCAAAGCGTCACTGCCCAGCGTAAAGTTTTCATGTTCATGTTGGCCCGCAGCTATTTTGATTGCGATATTACATCTTGTAAACATTAACATGGC